GTGGATTTAGCTTAGAAAAATTATATATTTGAGTTAAATGCTCCCATCAACACATTATGAAATGTTTCAAATAGCTGTGAATAAAGGAGGAAAAGAGTAACTGAGTTAGCAAATGAATAGCGAAAGACTTCTAAAGCATTTTAGGTATTTTATACAGCAAATTCTTACTCCGAGATAAAAGGTGCAAATCTTGATGGTCAATGGAGTTAATACTGTTTTGTATAAATATCAAAGAAACGTGTGAAAGAAATAATAAAAAAAAGAAACCTGATATGTGGCAAATGTTGACTAAATTCAGGAAGTGGACCGGGGAGAAAGGAATGAAAGCTACTGCTCTGTGATGTGTTTCCAATTACCAAGGAAACATCCTCTGGGGGAGAAAAAAAAGACAGGGTCCCAGTCTAATCTTCTTGTAAATATGCTGATAACTCAGGGACCAAAGCTAAAGATCTTTGCTAGCTGGACTGTTCTTATCTGTGGAATTCTCATAGCAAAATCATCCCCAGAAGCTATGGATTTATGAGGCATGGCCCTCAGGAAAAAGCCATGTAAGCCAATGTCCAATCTAAATATAAAATAGAGATATTTCGTAACTTAAATCCCCGCTCTTGCTATGTGACATCACCCGAAACCTCACCGACAGACCGAGTTTACTACCCTAAACCAGAGCTGGGTCCAGTGCAGACAGAAGGACTAAGGAGCCATAAAGGATGGACTAGTGCCTCAGACTTTTGGTTGTTTTGTATCTTTAAAATTATTAGTAAACCTAAATAAGATCCTACATTTGTGCAAGTTCAATTTGACAGTGAACTTCTTTCTGTTAGATCTAGTGTGCCAACGTTTCTATCTAAGACAGAAGAGCACATTAACTGTTTACAAAGGGCAGGGCAAAAGCAGGTTTACAGTTGTTTGTATGGAAAACAACACAATAATTACAGTACAGATCTATAAAAGAATAAAGTCTGTGTTTCACACACTCACACCTATAAACCTACTTTTGCACCACCCAGTACATATTGCTTATATTAAAAAATGGACGAATGAACTATAAATATTGTTAATGATAGGGAAGGTGGATGACATGTTACAGAAAACTAGAATGGAGGCCAGCCTTCTCCCAAGTATATCTTGATTTGTAGGCTTGAATTTGGGACCTCATATTTAAAATTATCTTAAATTTTTTAAAATCCCAAGAAGTGAAAGGGGAATGAAACCAATGAATCTTATTGTGTATTGTGTTTGGTGGCATAATACACAGACAGAAACTATACTCAAGAGAAAGGCTCAAACACAGGAATCCAATTATACTTTCATGGGGTATACTTTAAAGTCAAAAAGAATTACAAAAACAAAAATGACATGTCCTTTAAACTCTGTTCAGTAATCATATTATTGTTGATGGTGTTTTTTATTCAGTCTGTGTGTGTATTCTAGGGAAAAGCAAGGGAGAAATTATGTTGAAATCAATGAACACCAATTTGGGTCATGTTAGAAGGAAAACAGAGTCAGATGATGAAAATAAGTAGGAAGTATGAATATGAAATCACGATGTGTTTTCTGTTTAAAAGGACTAGAAAACATGTACCCAGCTCATTAGCAATGGGCATTCCTAGTGTCCAAATAGTGGTCTCTAAATATCATTTGCTACTGAGAGAAACCAAGACTTATAGGAGAAATGACTAGCTCTGTCTAGAGTGGACAATATTCAAGATAAGCCTAGAACATCCTGTCATTCAGAAAGCAAATAAGCTATTAAAGACAAGTAAGGTCAAGTTAAACGCTTTAGGAGCTAACTTAAAGAGAATCCCTTTGGCCAAGGATGGAGCACTTTGACCATCAATGAGAAAAATGCACTGTATTGACTGATACACATAAAGTCTTTTTAAATCAATGAGTTCATAAAGATACTTTTAAAAATCTCATTGGCCATCCTTGGAGATTGCTAGAAAACCAATTATTCAGAAAGCTGCTAAGTAAATGAATCAGCATTTTTCCTGTAAAAATGGTGCTTCTTGTGATCAAAATAGTTGACTTGGGATAATTTTTATACAAGTATTCCAGCTAAGAAATACAGAAGAAGAAAACTGGATTATTGACACATTGCCAGCCCTAATGAATTCATCGATTTAGGCAATGCTCATCAATGGCTTCTAACAACACAAAAAGGAGACACCCAGACATTATACATATTCTGATAAAAGAATACAACACCATCTATAAGATACTCTTACCAAAAATTGAACCTGACTGTAATCAAGCTTCTAGATGTAATGCACAGAAAATACAGGACATTGTATAGATTCCATAATCCACTTCCTAATGGGTTCGCAATCTACAGCTTAAAAGGTCACTGATATAAATCATTCCACTTAATTACTTTCAAAAGAAAATAGTCTTCTCAGAAAGGAAAAAAAAGATGTATCATTACTATTGCAAACAATAAAATATTAAGGACAGGGAGGTGGACATTCACGACCTTTAGGTTCTCTGCACAAGTAGACTATAAAATCATTTAGAATAAATTACTGCTAAATTACTTCAGTTTCTAATAAATAAACAAAGATAAAAAGCCATTATAGTTACTGCAAGTTACTCAAGAGTGTGAAGTTTGGTTGCCAAAGTTGTCCTATCTTCTAAAGCTTGACTTTTGATCTTTCACAAAAACCGAGTTAGGAAAAGCATTTATTCTAAGAGGTAGCCCGGGTTTTCTTCCTCTCTCATCTTCTACTACAGTCTGATGCATTCCCTACTTGTGACAAATACTAAGAGACTGGCATCAGATTAGCCACCAGTCCACCAAAGTCCACCTGCTTCAATGACAATGACATTGCTGCAATAAATGATGCCCAAGAGGAGTCTGGGGAAGTAAAATGTGTCTGTCTTTGCAAGTGGCTTATTAATAATGAGTGGTTCGAACACTCCCATCTCCTCTGAGACTGTATATACCCATAAAAGTGAAGGGCTTATGAACACCGTTTTTCTTCCATATTATTTTTATTTGTAGAATCAGGTAACAAACTGGGACGAGGGCTCACAGTAGGTTGAGTTTTGGCTGAATCATTCCAAACAGGAGTCAGGAACCATGAAGAAAATAGGAAATGAGGAAGAGGTAAAATAAGGCGTGTTATTAGTTGGCCACTATGATAGGCAACGGGGGTGTAATCTTTTTAGGGACCCTCTGAGAAGCGACGTGGAAGGGACCTCAGAATTGTCCATCCAAAGAACGAAAGAGTGGACTATGTATCCACTAACTCCTGTCCTTCTTGGTCAAGAGCCTGTCGCACATCCAGGGAAGCGGATGAGTGACAATGGCTGAGTGGGTTCCTGAGGGTGGTCCACACAGTTGAGGCAGCAGTGGAGCCTGGCAGGGAGCAGGGGGCGTCCAGCACAGCCAGACAAGGTGCTGTCAGCTCACTGAGTGAAACTGGTTGCCGGAGTCAAGGGTTGAGAGCACTGGGGGTGAGCCACAAGAGCTTTCTAATGCACCATGGGATAAAATCAATGTATAAAACCCTAAGGGGAATTGAATGAGAAAGTGGAAATGATCCTTGGGCTTTGAGGCGTGAGTGGAAGCACGGAGGGCTGCCTGTAATGGCTTCATCCATTTGCTACCCTTTTTCTTTTTAAGAATCAGACTAATTATATTTGTTATTTTCTGTCTCAAATATCTAACATTTTTAAAAAGATTTTAGTTTTCATTTATTTTCAGAGAGAGGAAAAGGGAAGGAGAAAGAGAGGAAGAGAAACATCAATGTGTGGTTGCCTCTCGTGTGCCCCCTACTGGGGACTTGGCCTGCAACCCATGCATGTGTCCTGACTAGGAATCAAACCAGTGACCCTTTGGTTCACAGATCCATGCTGCACTGAGCTACACCAGCCAGGGCTTCTAGCATTTTTTTTTTAAGAGGAAGATGAGAAAAAAATTTTTCTGCACAGAATTTTTTTTAATGTCAAAAAGTATTTTAGAGCTAAAAGGAAACATTTTTCTCTGGATTGTGACTTTACTGGCATGGGGTTGGGGATGAGGGGACAGGAAAGAGCCCACGAGTGCACACACACCGTGTTATCTTTTTAGGTGGTGAGAAGAGAGAACCAGCATGTCACTGGCGAGCGAGTAAAACACTAGGAGAAAACGCGCTCATGCTGTTAAACAAAGGAATGACTGTCCTTTCACGATCCCGGAGTTGAAACACATATTTGGACCAACTATTACAAACATCCACTTTCAAATATTAAGTTTCTACAGGGCGCATTGCTTGTATCTTATTAATGGACACATTTTCCAAAATTCTGTGGTTAAACTGCATGTTCCTTTCAAAAGAAAATGTTTATATAATGTGTTTTTGCTTGCTTGGTATTGAAAGAAGGCACATCTCTTTATCTAGATGAAAGAAAGTTGAAAGAGGCTTTAAAAACATCTAAACAGATTTTAAAAATATTAGAAAGCTCATAGACCACAATGTTCCAATTAGATGTTTATGGTTGTGACTGTGATCTAGGCTATTTGAGCTTTACTTTTTCCCCATGTTACAAACAGTTATGGTTTATATCTGAACCTGTGATTCACAGCAATAGATTCAGTTCTAAAATCAGGATACTCTGAAATTTATCTTATTTTTTTGTACTGATGGCTTTACATGCATGTATAAAATTATTTCTCAGGTAACTTACAAATAAATCATCCTAGATGATTTTAAGTGTGTATTTCCTATCCAAAACTGGTAGATGGTTAGCATATTAAATTAGTTACTACTATCAATTTAAAAAATAATTTCTGAACTTCATTAAAGATGCCATGGTATGTAACTAAAGTACCTCTTGTTTTGTTTTTCTTGGAAAGGAAGCATTTATCTTACACCAGCTCTCTTTTCAGATAAAGAAGACACTTAATAAATGAAAAAAGTTAGTTGATAAGTCACATTTAACCAGCATTAACGATTACTCAATGGAACAGTGTAAATCTGAAGTGAACAGCATTTTATTTATAACAGTATTTTATTAAAGGTATATTTTACATGTAGTAAAATCACACATCTTAAAATATATACACCTTAAGGAATGTTGACAAATGTATGCAGATATATACCATCATCCAGATCAAAATACAAAACATTTCAACCACCCCAGGAAATTCCCTCCTGCCCCTTTCCAGGATTCTTAGAATCTCCTCCCCTACCCTGAGCAGGTGTGGTTCTGACTCAGGATAGGCTGGTTTTGCCTATAATTGGTCTTCATATAAAAATAATTATACAGTATGCTGTGTCCAGGTCTTTTTCTCAGCATAATGCTTTTGAGATTCATCTAGCGTGTTGCACATATTAATACACCATTCTTCTTTATGAGAAGTATTCCACTGTCTGCTGTATGAGATTATCCATTCTCCTGTGGATGGAAATTTGATTGTTTACAGTTTGGTGCTGTTATGAATAAAACTGCTATGAACATTCATTTCTCTTGAGTATATATCTAAGAATGAAATGCTAAATCATAGGGTTAGGTATGTATTTAACTTAACTAGAAATTGCCAAGTAGTTCCCGAGTGGTCCTACCATTTTGCATTCCTACCCATAGTTGGGGAAATTCTGGTTACTCCACATTCCCATCAATAGTTGGCATTCTCAATGTTTTTGGTTTTTTTTTTTTTCAATTTCAGCCAGTTAGGGTTGGCCATTGAGGGTGTTTTGTAATTTTAGTCTTTCAGTGATACCTCGTTGTGGTTTTAATTCATATTTCTTTGATGATAAGTGAGGTTGGAACCTTTCTACATATTTATTGGCCTTTTGTATATCATCTTCTGCCAAGTATCTGTTTTTTGTTCCTTAAGAGCAAAAAGCAGTTTGTGGTTTGTCCCACTATTACTGATTTTCAGTTCTTCATATATATTCTCAGTAAGAGTCCTCTGTCAGATACTCTGCATTTTGAATATTGTATCCCAATCTGTGACTTCTTTTTTCACATATTTACTGAAGGCTTTTGATAAGGAAAATCTTTTCATTTTGATGAAGCCCAACTTATTTTTTTTTTCTGTTTCAGCGAGTGCTTTTTATGTTCTACTTGAAATTTAGAATCTGTCTCCTTCAGATTGTTAAGGCTTGCTTCTGAAATTTTTTATTTCACCAATCACAGTTAGGTCCATTCTTCTGTAGGATGTTAGATAGAGGTCCAGGTTCATAGTATTTTATGTTTTTCCAGTTTGTTGAAAGAAGAAACCTTTCCCTTTTCAATACCTTGGTTCCCTTGTCAAAGTCAATGGACTCTGTATAGTTCTCTTTCTGGTTTCCTTTTTCTGTTCTACTGACATACAACTTATTTGTCTAAATCTATGCCGAGGACATACTGTCTCCTCTGCTGAAGCTTAGTAACGGTCTTGATTCAGGCAGTACAAGTCCTCCGACTTTATTGTCTTTCAAAATTGTTTTGGCTAAGGTCTTTTCCATTTCTTTTACATATTTTTAATTATATTTTTCCATAGCCATTGAAAATGTTAATTTCCACCCCCAAAAACCTTCTAGGATTTTCTTCCTGGGATTGCACTGAATCTACAGATCACTCTGGGGAAACAACTCAGGCGCCCCCTTCTCCCCAGGACGGGTGGGCAGTGCAGGCAGACTGCTCCTCTGCTGAGCTGTTTGGAACCCAGGCTCCTTCGTCTTTCCACTCAGCTCTTCCTTAGGTGGCTCCGCACTGACCACTGTCACTAGTGGGTTACCTGAGGAATTCACTCTGCAATTCAGGAAAAAGGAAGGGGGAAGGCACAGGACAAAGGGTGTACGGCGGCTGTGTCTTTCACCTTTACAGCATCTTTTCTTCAAGCCCCACCAAACACTATAAATAATGCTTATATCTCACTGACGTGAACCGTTTTATACGGTCATTTCTATCTGCAAAGGCATCTGGGAAAATGCGGTTTTTAACAAGAGCCCTTAAAAATTAAAGTTCTATTAATAAAGAAGAGTTGAAAGTATATCTTGGGTAGGCGCCTGGGTATCTGTACCAGTCATGAAGGTTTTTCTGCAAAACTGCTATCCTCTGAGTCATGAGAAGCATCAGGTTTGGTGGAGAGGTCCATACATGAGCTACTAGATGGCTTCAAGCTCTGAAATATAACTGAACATTTGAAAACTGTACACCAGGCTATTTGCTGTTTGCAAAAAAAAAAAAAAATGAGTATGTCCCACACATTGTTTAATAGCATTAAGAGAATGGCATTTCTTTATAATAAAAGCAGAAGCTGCTACCCAAATTCCATTCCTTCTACAGAGTAAAAATAGTCACAAAACAGGAAAAACAGCTCATTAAATAGCACAGGTATCTTAACGATGCCTTTACAGATGTGGATTTTCTGTTGAACTGAAACAGGTAACTGTTTTCTACTCATTTCCAGAATGGACAAAGGATTCTGAGTAAGGAATTAATATATATTACATGGCGTTCAAGAATATGCGGTAAGATGTTCCTGTCTCAGGCTGGCTGAGGTCCAGGGAAGCGCGAGGAGAAGAAATGATCTGAGTGGCAGAGTCAGGGACACCTGGGTGATACAAAGCAGAGGGCAGAACTCACTAACACGAGGGCTCCTGGCTAAACACCTTGGAGAAAAATGTTAACTTTGTAGATACAATCATCGACACACTTTCCATTTTCCTGTTAATTTATGCACCATTTTCCAGAGAGATACTATACTGTCATTGACCTTTATGAAAACATTTATTGTTGAAATACTTTCAGAGCATCTTGAAAGAGATTATGCTTGCTATTGATTTACCTTAAAAAGGTATACAGAAGTGATTGATGTGGTCATCTACTATACTCCTATAAATCAGGTTTCTCCGTTAGCCACAGGTCAGATTCTGGTTGTTCCCATTCTTCTCCAAACAGTGTGTTAAAACTGAAAGGCTTGAAGTATTCCAGACGATGGCTAAATGTAGAGACAAAGAAGGTGGGAACTGAAGTGGATTGCGCTTCTGGGAAATAGTTGTTCTGAAGGGCTATTCATGCTGTCACATCTGCGATGGGACAGCACTCTGTGAAGAATGTAGCCTGTATGTGTAACTTTCTCACTCTGGCTCTCAAACGTTCAGCTCTGGAAACACGCGTCCTCGGCCCAAAGCACTCTCCTCGAAATTCCACAGCTAGCTCCCTCACGGAGGAGGGCAGAAATAAAAACCAGCCCTCAAAACCTGACTCCTTCCATCTTGCCTTAAATCATATTACATTCTTAAAGATGTTTTATACTTAAACACTGATGTAGTTTACATTAGTCATACATTTGTTTTTAAAAGTTTCAGCTCCATTGATTAGAGGACAGACACCTTTGCCAAAGCAAAGGAGGTGAGAAGGGTGTTAATCCTAGTTTTTTTTCTTCCTAGAACACCTTTTAACCATTATGGAGATTTCCACTGGGGCTTAATGCGAGGAGAGAGAGGCTTCATGAATGTGCTGCCTCAGAGCTCAGCTCTGCGGGAAATCACTCTGCCTTGACTCTGCCCTGGCTGATGGTATAACCATACTTTTTCCTAGGATAAGCCTGCAATAACGTATACACTGAGGAGCCAAACATAACATCACATTAAGAAGCCTAAATAGAAGAAGGTATTAGGTGGTGAAGAGGCAGAGAAACAAGCCACCTTGACAGAAGGCCCCAAGTCCTTTGCATCTAGATGCCAGTCCCGTGCTGCTCACCTGGCCAGACTGCACCACAAATGTCAATCCCAGATGAGGAGGTTGAGGAACCGCCAGTGAAGGTTAAGATAAAACCAGGGAGGAAGATGTTGGTTAGAAAGGTTCAGGACTGGGAAGAAAAGCAGAGGGAAAAGTATGTCAGGCAGGAGAAAGGAATAGGATGGAAGAGATGAAGGCAAAATAAAGAGCAGGCAAGACAGGAAGGAGAAGGCAAAGAGGGAGCGGAGGAGAGCTTTTTGGGGGGGTAAAAAGGCAGGGAAGTCAGTCTGCCATGGCGCAAGCCCACTAGGATGTCTCTGTTGGGCTCTTCTGGACCCAGGCTCTCCAGCCGGTCATGGCCACACTGAGCACACTCAGAGATCTAGGTAGCAGGAAGCCCGGCGTGCCCCGGGACAGCGGCGGGCTCTCCCCTCTAAGGGAGCAGAGCACGCTGCAGTCCCTGACGCATCCACCCAGCTGTCCAGGAGCTGTGTGTCCTTAGGTGACAGCTTCAAAGACATGAGACTCAAATCGGGCAAGTGTAGGAGACCCAAGGGCTTGCTTACATGCCTGCAGCCCCACAGGGGCCAATATCTCTTATATCAAGTCCACAGACAGAGCTTCTAGGGACCCCCAGGGGAACAAGACTGTTAAAGGGAAATCCAAAGCCACGCGTCCCCATCGGGTATTTACAGTTTATTCATAATACCATCGGTCTAGATACTATTTACCAATTGGGAGTCATTTTTATCATAAGCCATGTTGCCTAGAAACCTAGTTCATTTTTTTGTCCTTATGAGGTGACCAAGGGAAGAGAGCTAAGGATTTAACTGAAGGTCACATTCTCAAGCAACAAGGGAAAGAATTTATTAACCCTTTGTTCATACCAAGAATCTGGATGCCCCTGGCCATTTAGCTTTGAAAGGGATCATAAATGAATCTGCAATAGGCTATACCAGCTGTTGCAATATGCACTAAGCTAGATTTTTCTCACACTGCCATGGAAATGTAAGCACTGTACTTACAGCAGTGAGGGAGGCTAAGTCCTTCCACAGTCGGTCTGTCGTGTGTATTTACTGAGGACCATCAGGGAGCACAGGAGCCCACCAGGCCTTGTGCATACAGGTCTCCTCTGAACAGAAATGCTATCACTGCCCCGCGCCCACCAAGAACTAATTTCAAAAAACTCTCACAGGGGGAACATGTCTTCATTCATTTTCCTACTTACAAGTCAGGCTTTTGTCCAGGTTGCAGTTCACACCGAGGCACAGGGTAAAGGGCTTCATAGCTTCTTTTATCTTTTGACCCATGAATTGCAAATGAATTGAATTTTGTCACATTTGGTGGAAAATAACTCCAAGGAACACAAGCTCTGCCCTCCCATTTGGTCTCTCCTCTGGACGCTTTGAATGGTAGAGCAAGTTCTTGCTAGGAAACAATATATGAAATAGGTAAATTCAGGTTGATACTTTAAACATATATATTAAATATTATATACACATATATCTTCTACATTTAAGAATTTTGCCTTGTATTTTTGTTTACTTACTTTCCACATGTTTCTTCTTCCAGATAATAGAAGCACCAAATGCTGTCCATGGCTGTCAAAATTAAAATTCCTCGTGAGTGTTTGAAAGGAACAAGCGGTATGTTCTTCGCTATCCTTCGTACTTGCAATGTGTGTATTTGTAACCAAATTTCCAAATACTTAAAAAGATGCAATACGAACATTAGATAATTAGAGAAAGAGTCGGTGTATTAGGTTACTTAGAAATGACATCTTTGAGTTTACCTTTTTCCTGACAATTATAGTCAAAAGTTACATGTGCTCAGATGGCTTTATGTTCTTTAAATACAGAATTATGTCAAAAGCTTCAGTTGGTTAGATGATGCAAAGTGTGAAAAGGAGCAGGGGGACAGCATGCTCTTTGGAGATTATAATAAAACCAGTTTCCAAGATGAAAGGGCCCAAAGGGAAGCTGGCAGTAATTTCCAGGTCTACCCAACAACTTGGCTAAAGGTCCTTTCTATAGGAAAACTGTCTTGAAGCTCTTTGGGAGGACAGAAAAAACAAAATACAGTTTGTCTAAAACTTCATTTGTCTGCCTCTTGTGTTTCTCCTGCTTTCAATCATTAGATCGGGCACCAATGTCACATTTTCCAAGAGAAACACAATTCTCAAAGGACACTCAAATGAGACAGTGTGATCAGGACTAGCCAGGCCAGTAAGAGTCAAAGACTTGCAAGTGATTCCATGAAACAAATGTACTGTCTCTGGAAAAGACTGTATCTGTACATTTCTGTACAGAGAGTCTTTCGTGAACTTTTCAAGGAGGATTTTCTTTAGCAAGCTGTTCTAACAAACAACAAGTATTCTTTTCCTCTGCTTCATTTTATTGCTATTATGCAAGCTTAATAACGGCCCAGGAGAAGTAAAAGTTCTTGTAAATTAAAACAGCAGTATTCTTCACATTACTTTCCTAGAGATTAACTATTACAGGAATTGATGGCCTGAAGCAAGACCATGATTCTTGATTACTGACTGTCCTGATACATATGAAACCAAACTACTCTGAGGATTTTTTTAACTTTTAGAATTTATTAATTTTGTGCATAATGGTTATTATTTATTATTTTAATAAAAGAGAATCTAATTATCCTACTCATCCAGTACTAATAGAAGCACCAGTTTCAGAGTTTATGAAAATAAACTGATATTTTTATCTAATAAAAGTAAAACTAAGAATGAAACTTTAGAATTCTAGTAGATTCAAGTATCTTTTTCTAAATATTTTATTTATTCTATTTTTAGGAGGGAGGGAGAAAAAGAGGGAGAAAAACATCAGTGTGTGGTTGCCTCTCACACACCCCCTACTGGGGACCTGTCCCACAACCCAGGCATGTGCCCTGACTGGGAACTGAACCAGCGACCCTTTGGTTTGCAAACTCACACTCAATCTACTGAGCCACACCAGCCAGGGTGATTCAAATTCTTTACTGTCTTGCAGACAAGTTATAAATCTATTTGCTTTAGCTTTCTCACCTATATGGTAAAAATAATCATCTAATAGGTGAAATGTTTTTACAAAAGTGACAGCTTAGGACAATGAATCATACTTTTCAATAAAAAAAATGTTGGCATGTTAGTTGAAAGGTGACACACAAAGATATAGATTATTCTTCTGAAAAGTATAATTGCGAACAGCTAGATTCTCCACGTGAGAGTTAGCAGAAAAAACAAAATAAGGAAAAGAAAGTATCTATCATCTCATTTAACTCAATCCCAAGACTATGAAGGGACAAAGGCTACTGAATATTTGATACTGAGAGGCACTTAAATGTCATTTAAACTGAATAATCACAATACAAAAAATATTTCATTGTTACTTTACTAATTTAAAATTTGCCATAATATAGATGAGAGGAGGGCATAAATTAACTTTTTCACATCTACAGGATAAAAACTGTCAACCAGGTAAAGAAGGTTTTCCAGAGAATGGTTAAATTTGAACAAAGAGAGTCCAAGCTTAAAACTTTAAATGAGTCTAGAAAAAGCCATGTCTGATTTATCCCTCATATTGAATGCAGAGTGATACGCTCAGTAAATGAATGATGAATAAAGGAATGCATGAATACATTTTTATGGAATACATAAATTTAAAGTGTAATCTAGCCATTAAAAAAATTCCCTGAAACATTTTCATATAGTTTAATTCATTATATCTGTTTCCTTTTTTTCTGAATAGCTAGTACATAATAATGCAAATTTAAAGAGTAAATAATGAGTTTGTGTTTTATGATAATTTTTCATTTTGCAAAAGAGAATTTTTTTAATTTATTACAAAAGCCAACTACATTAGTAAAACAAAAATTATGTCAACATGATACTTTCACACATTTATAATACATATAGGATGTGGAAAAACTAGATTTACAGTTGTTCATATGGAAAATAATATAATAGTTAATAAATAATAATACAAGAATAAGCTGTGTTTTGCATACTCTCAACTGTAAACCTAATATTGCCCCACCCTGTTCTAAACATATATTTTAAATTATACACTTATTTGAAAATAAGAAATATGCATAATTCAGATTAGCATTTCCTCTACATTGTTGGAATTAGTGAGTTTTTACTATGACAACATGATTTATAAGCAAAAATCAATGTGTTCAAATTATGTAATAATGAGTTAGAAAAAAATGTTCATACTTACGGGCAAAGTTCAACTTCTAAATATTGTTCCGTAATGTCATTCAAGAAAAATGCTTCCACAACTTTTGAAAACAGAAATACAATATATTCAGAAATTTAATTTTGCTTCAACAATAACTAATTTCTTATTCCTTTAGAGTATAAAATAAATTAACTCATTATTTTTAATTATAGCTCCATCCCCAATAGGAAAAGGAACAAAGAAAATAAATGGACATTGCCTAGAAATAAATCATCCTCAAATTTCCCCATATGAGATGGCCATAAATTAAAAAGATGAATAACACTACTCCTGGTGAGGCTGTAAAGAAATCAACATCATCACACAGACCCTGAGCCAGTCACCCTCTTCTAAGAATGTACCCTAAGGAAGCAACAGACAATGAGAAGCAGCAGCAAATGTAATGCCAGTCATCAAAGTATTGCTCAAAAACACTGGAAATTATCTCCATGATTATATCCTATTGTGTAGGGTTGTTGACTATTATATACATAAATCTATGATATAGGAAAGCTAGTACATAAGTTACGAAATTTATGTATTCTATGCGGTAGACTTTAATGTGGCCTTTAAAATCAAAGACACAGTTAAATGTTTTTGACATGAAAAGATACCCATGATATCGTATATGGTAAGTAGGCTACAGAGCAATCACAAAATTGGCAGATAAGCAGACCTCTCAATGTATTAATAAGTGATGCTGCAGAGTGAAGGAGGGCCAGGTCATGAAAAATCTTATACAGAAATCACGTTAAGAAGTAAAAGTTATCCTGGGAGCAGCAGAAGCCTGAGAAGGTTTTTAAGTAGCTGAATGCTGAGTTTAAATTTTTACTTTAGAAAGATCCCTCTGGCTTCCAAGAGGGAAGGGTGGACTTAAGGGCAAAAAGACTACTTAGGGGGCTCTGCCCCCACTGAGGTCAAAGATGATGGAGGCCTGAGCCACAGCAGAGACAGTGGAAAAGTGGGAATGAAGAAGGGGCCCTGAACTAGAGAACCATTTAGGAGGGGAACCCAGTGAGACTTACTAAATCCAAATACAGCGAGTGGGAGAGACTCTCTTGGGAAAAATCTCACATTTCTTTATTTGGTGATTTGAAGTGCTGGAGCGCCACTGATGGAGACTGGGCAATTGGGGAAAGAAGCAGGTTTATGAGACAAGGGGATGAGCTGAGTTGGGGACATGCTGAGTAGATAAGCCACACTGGAGTGTACACCAGTGGGAAGCTGATACAGGCAAGCTCTGTGTCAGTAAAAGACAACGTATGTTTAACATAGGATAAGTTAACAGACAAAATGCATGCTATACAGATGGCACAGAAAAAGTAGATGCTCACAGGGACTAGAAGAGTCAGCAAAGGCTTCTTTGAATAACTGGAGCCTCACTTAGACCTTGAACTATGTGTGTTGGAGGCAGGAGAAAAGGTACCTGAGTAAGAATATGCATGGACAGCGATACTACGGCCTTTTAGAAGGCAGAGGCTTTTGGCTGAATGAGAAAACCCAGTTAATGAGACCCTCAAAGTCTACGGGAAGGGTGTGAACTTTATCTTAGGGACAGTCACAGTTTGTGATCTGAGGAATGGCATCATTTGGTAGCTTAATTAGGAGACATAGGAAAGGAATCGGATAGCAATCCTGAAACTGTAATTTTATGGTGTCTTAGAACCTTGATTTGATATGTGAGATCACTTGTCAGTACGTTAAAATAAAAACTACATTTCATGTTGAAGTTGATGGTGTTTCTATAACAAGTAAAACACCCCAACACTTCCATAAAGAAGGTTTATAAGGTTAAAGTGGCAATCTGAAGATACTTAAAAGACAAAACAGGAAAGCTGAACTCTTCTTAAAACAGGTGACAGACACAAAGGAAGGACACATGGCAGCAACTGAGAAGCCTGGATTTGTGACTGCCCTTTTCCACCGTTCTAGGCACACTGTGGAAGTCACGCAGGTAACAGTGAAAAAGTAGGAATGAGAGGCTGGTAGTAAATACCTCCCAGTGCACATGTCAGTTCCTCAGAAGCACTCACTTCCCTACAGCAAGATCGAGTAAGAGCTCTGGGAGAGGTTATTATACGAAGATTTATGTTTGCAATAAAGTACAGTACTTCCACTCACCTTCATAATCCCACAGTCTGCTGAAAGGCTTCCCGGGCTCTCCGGGTGGGGCCGGAGGATCATTGAAAAACGGAGCGCTGACCTTCAACAGCACTCCTCCGTCCCCGGGCTCCAGCCCCACAGACACGGGCTCATGCTCCACTGGGAAACCATCCCACGTGTGTTCGATTCTAAAATCCATTTTAGACTCTAAAGAAAAGATATGAAAATGCACTCTTTAACAATATACCCATGTTTCCCTTAGTCAGGAAGGAAATGAACATTTCCATGCCCAACAGCAGGCAGGACCGATGGCAGCAGAGTGACCGGAACAGGGTTTCCGAGAGTCCAAAGGCACATTGTGTTACGGCACATTGCGGACACCGAGTTCCACTGTGAAACGGGAAGTTGGCCCCTAAAAGTTTGGAGACTTTAAGTCTAGATCCAAAATCATTTTATAAAATGTAATTTAAATCCCCTGCAGAAATCGTTCATGTACTTAACAACTATAAGCACTGTGAGTTTACATGTCATCCTTTGTCATTTACAGTCCAATGTACAGGTGTCTGAATGATTGACCCCCTGGGAACCAAGATCTTTATAATAAAATTCAATCTGATAAAAAAAAATTCTGTAAATCAGCAAAAGCACTGCTGTTAACATCTGTTCTTTTGGCTAAAAACTTTTTGCTTTTGCGGGGAGAAAAGGTATTATGTTACCTTCTTTGGCCTCAGGGTCTAGGTTTTCTTAGTCCAGTTCAAAGTTTAAATGATGGCATATCCTTTTCCCATTTTCAACTAGAGAAAAAGGTTTAACCAAGCAAGTGGTCATTTCACACTTAAAATGCCAAAAATTGAAAAGTGCAAATACATGTGACACAAGCAGTATTTGCACTTTACACGGTTTCTCCACAGAGGAAATGGAAGGACACAGTAATTATACTAATAAAGTTATATTGAGTTGAAAACTATGAATTGGGCATTTTATAAACATTATCTAATTTAATTTCACAAGAAACTTGCAGATAAACTATTAACTTCAGTACAAATGAGAAAAATGACTTGTTCAAGGTCACATGGCTGGAAAACCAAGAAACTGAACCAACATCAGCCATGTTTTCCCAGATGAAGTCATTTCAGGAATCTGCAAGGAAATGAAAGCTTCATTTTAGTAGTAGTGGATTTGCCAAATTATAGTAGGTCCTTATATCTTCCTTGTTCAGAAGATAATCTTGATTAAGAAATGATATTTTCAGACTATAATTTATGTATCTAAAGTCTTTGAAGGCATTTCCTTACTTCATATGTCGCTTTTACTGCAAGTAACGAAGTACTAAATTTTGGATATATTTATTTCAGTGAATGTGTATGGAATACCAACTATGTGTCAAGCACTGGGAGGTCCAAATATATAAGCTCTGTGTCTCATCATGAATCCAACATCTCTGAAAACCTTTTTCTAAAGTATGTCAGCTTTTCCACCGTGGCTGGTGTGGCTCAGTGGATGGAGTGCTGACCTGCAAACCACGGGGTCACTGGTTTGATTTCCAGTCAAGGCACATGTCTGGGTTGTGGGCCAGGCCCCCAGTAGGGGGCGCTCAAGAGGCAACCACACCATGATGTTTCTTTCTCTCCTTCTCTTTCTCCCTCTCTTCCCTCTAAAAATAAATAAAATGTTTAAAAAGCCAAGTATGTAGCTTTTCCTAATTTTCAATACATACTAACAAATTTTAATATATATAACCTCTAAAATTAAAAAGTTGTTCTGGTATTGCAACCCACTTGCAAGTAATAGCATTTTAGGAAAGGATAAGTTCAGTAATTTATATTAAAATAAGCTCAGTGAGTGACAAAACTATATAAATATACATTGGTGTGGAATTTAGTCCTGACTTGCATAGAATAAAATACCTTAATAATAAATTTATTTTCTTTAGTTAAAATATGCAGATACTTTCTTCAAAAATAAATGTACAACCTCTACTCCAACTTTTGGTACTATAAGTACCTTCTTATAGCATATAGGAAGAAATGAGAATAAATAAAGTATTAGAAATGTTCCTTAAATCTGATTCTGGTGCCAAAACGCTGAGAGAATATGCTAGTCTTCTAACTTGGAGCCTGACCATTCTTGATCCTGGCAAAATATAGCTCAGCGACTAGGAAGTTTTGATTCATTCATTCATTCTCCCTACGACCTTTATATCCACGAAAATGCTCACATACTAAAGGCACTCGTATCCTATTCAGTGGGTTTCCACCTGCAAATGTTCAACTCCCAGCTGTCAATCATCTCTATCTCTAAATGGAATTAACCGCAGCTTGTGATGCACTCCTCCTAAAAGTAAACATGAAAAGAATGTTTACTCTTAGTGCTGCTTTTCCCCACATTTTTAACTGCTATCCCTCAAATTACTCTTTCATCAAAAAAAGTAAAATAATAATAATTTAAAATTAATGTTCATGCTTCCCCTGTACTATGGAAAGATCTTTAAAAGGAAGTAAGTGAAGGTTGAGAAAGGAGGCAGAACCTTGGAGCATGAAAAGCTTAAGAGAGAAAAAAAATATCCACAAAGGTGAAAAGAAGGAAGTTCTGGAATAGGTGTTTCCTCAACAGTGTTTGCAAGGACACTTTCCAAATTCATTTATTCACAAAATTGTCTTTAGTTTTCTACAAAAATTATTTTTCAGTTTCCATTCTCCGCCCCTGCCTTCGCCCCCTCGGTTAAAAGAGTAAAGGAGAAATAAGGAAGTCCGGCTGAAAGAGGGAGGGAAATGTCTGCAGGAGGAGGCAGCGGAGAAGTTACCAGAGGAAACCTGACAACAAGCCTGGACCAAGGAGCAAGAAATGAGAAGGAAGAAAGCATATCGGGAAGAGAACAGACAGAAGGAATGAGAGTGAAGAAAGCATGTCAAGAAGAGAACACAGACCGGGAAGCTCTTCTCTGCCCACCAGGCTCCTCCTTCCAGCGAGATCCCAGGAGAGGGCTGAGCCTTAGGCCCCGCCTTAGGCCCCGCCCAGGGCCTACGTAGTCTGGGGAGGGACTTGGAGGGCTGAAGCAGATTTCTGATTTTTACTAGAAAAGAGAAATGTTGAAGGACCACCAGCGAACATCTGAAGACTTTTAATCATTCTACCAAAGAATGAGTGATTTTCTAGGAGAAAGAAGAGTGACTCAGCAATATAAATCCCATGCAACAATTTGGAAATCAAACATAAATTACTAAGATTAAAGTAGAACATGCACACTGATAATTCACTAAATGCACCCAAAGGCTAACCAGCTATCTAAGCCATACCTGGAAATTATGTTATACTAGCTATAGGGTAAGATTATAAATAATACAAATAATCTTACCCCAGCTGTAAGTTCTATTACTCTACTAGGAGGCACGGACATAGTGGTGGAAGATTGTGATGATGGGAAACACATTGCAGTGGTTCAAATCCCAACTCAGGCACCTTCCAATGGTGATCGTCATCACGTTTTTAACAAAGAATTTTAAAATAGCACCTACCTTAAAAGCTTTTTGTAAGAATTAAATTGGGATACATATTAATATATGTGTATATTATGTATACATTGTAATGTACACAATACGTACATTATAACTAATGGTATATATGCATGTATACATTATAGTGTGTATAACTAATAATGTATGTATTATATATGCACATTATTTAGAACAGTGCTGGGCACACAGTATTCAAAAATGTTTATTTATTATTAAAGTATACAGGTTTGCTTAAAGAAAAATACTGCTTTGTTCAAATTATTAATACTGCGTGTTTCTGAAGTGGTTATCTTTTTCTTCCTCCAAAGGAACTATTTAGAATAAGACAAAAGCAGCTCAACGGTAAGGGCACACTTGAGTGTCAGGTACCTTCAAGCTGGGTGAGGCATAAAAAGGGGTTTTCTTTACTTTCCCAGAAATCTTGTATACACAGCACAACGTAGTTACTTCTTTTCTCACTTAAAACATGAGCACTGGCATCACAAAAGCAGATACACAACTGTAAGCTGCCATTTTAGTGAAATGCACAAATACTGAACAGATTAGCTTTCTTCCATCCAGAGGCCCACCATACAAACTCCACACAGGCCACAACTTCTCTTAAAAAAGGTCTACCAGAGTGCGAATTCCTTATCTTCACCAGTTTTGCTTGTGGGGTGGAGGTGGGGGTGGTTAGGAGTGTAGTGACATCCCTAAGCAGGGAAAGCAATTACAGGTAACCACAGCAAACTGTCCAGCTTACTGAAGGTGTATGTGTGAATTCAACAGCAGTGAGAAGTCAAAGCCCTAAAGCGTTCTTTGGCCAATTACCAACTGTTGATATAACAGCTGCTGTATTTGGTAACAAAGAAAAGGTGGATTTTTTAATGGCTTTATGTCTCCACCCCTTTCTGCAATAATGGAGCAGTTTTGTATTGCTCCATACATATTATAGAATGAAAACACAAGGGGTAAAAGTTTGACTAAACTTCACCTTTTTACAGTTTCATTTTTTTAAGTTATATGTAGAATATTCATATATTGATTATAAATTGATTATAAACTTCTTTCTTCTGACATTTTTAATGTTTAACTCAGTTACATGAGTATAAAAGATATTTTCAATCCTGTAATCCTCACTTAATTACAATCTCTAAAAAAATCTACCTTATTTTTCTACTTGTTACATGTCAGTTCATACAATAAATTCATTTCAAATGAATTTGAAATGTGACATTGTGCCAGTGGGTATTATTGGTGCTTTTTTAACTGAAGTGGTTATCTTATAGAAAACTAGCCTATGAGACAGGAGAGCTGACTGACCATTGAGATTATAAAACATGATTAAGTGTTCTAGAAATATGCAGTATGGTTCTGCTTAGTTCAGTCCTAACTATCCTAGCAGTTTCAGCACTTATCAACCACTTCCCTTCATTTAGTGTCTCCTTCACCCAAGACACTATGGACTTATGTTTCTACATAGGATTCAATGTATCCAGGAAGTGCTCTTTGCTTTCACAAACACTAATATAACTTATCAACTTTTAGTGTGAATGTTGTGTCAAGTTTATAACTACTTCTTTCGTGCCAATTTAAACCACAATATGATAATGTACTGGTTCAAATGTAGGAGAAGTTACAAGCAAGTCCTTGGGAAGTCAAAGAGAAGTTCATGAAGAAAAAGTCATACACTGACTTTTCAAAGACTTGGAACTTGCACACTCCATTTCTTTTTCCAGACAACAAAAATCAACTGTTAAAAAGAAAGCTAGGACTTCTGGCCAAGATGAAGGCAAAGGTGGAAACACTGTACCTCCTGGCACAACCAAGTTTAAAGACAACGACGTTTTATTAACAAAAATGCAACCAAAAGACAGAAAATTGAACTATACGGAAGTCCAACTACAACGAACCGTTCAGCCGGACCGGTAAGGGGCAGAGCCACCAGTGGAGCGGGGTATCGCAGGAAAACTCAGCCAGATGGACCCCGGTGCATGGGCAGCGGTTGGTGGATCCCAGGCGTGGGGTTGCGACGGGCAGACCCAGTGAGGGTGCAAGGCGGCGGGCTGACCGCAGTCACACATTCCCGCGCAGATAAATGAGGCAAAGGAGCAAGCAGTGAGACACACCGCTCGGGCCCAGGCAGGACCGCCATTGCCGCCACTGCCCTACTTTGTCTCCGCCCCCACATACAGCGTCACAAACCAGCGACCTGGGCAGCCCCGCCCTGGTGAACACCTAGGGCTCCGCCCCTCATATGTAATAGGCGAGAACAGACCAAAACATTATGGCTCCAGAAGAACTCAAAGCCCCAGAGCCCATAACTCTAAGTGACCAAGAAATAGCCAACCTATCAGATGCACAGTTCAAAACACTGGTGATCAGGATCCTCACAGAACTGGTTGGTTATAGTCACAAATTAGAGGAACAAATGAAGGCTAACCTACTTGAAATGAAGGGAAATGCACAGGAAACCAATAGTGATGGAAAGGAAACTGGGATTCAAATCAAGGGAGTGGACCAAAAGAAAGAAAAAAATTACCAAATAGAAAAGTATAAAGAAACGAGAATTCAAAAAAATGAGGAGAGCCTTAGGAACCTTCAGGACATCTCTAAACATTCCAACATCCAAATTATAGGAGTACCAGAGGGGAAAGAGAAAGAGCAAGTGAAAAACTTGTTTAAACAAATAATAAAGGAGAACTTCCCCAGTCTGGCAAAGGAAATGGACTTCCAGGAAATCCAGGAAGCTCAGAGTCCCAAAGAAGTTGGACCCAAGAAGGAACACACCAAGGCACATCATATAATTATATTAGCCAAGATTCAAATGAAGGAGAGAATCCTAGAAGCAGCAAGAGATAAGGGGACAGTCACCTACAAAGGAGTTCCCAACAGACTGTCAGCTGATTTCTCCGAAGAGACCTTACAGGCAAGAAGGGGCTGGAAGGAAGTATTCCAAGTCATGAAATCCAAAGACCTACATCCAAGATTGCTCTATCCAGCAAAGCTTTCATTCAGAATAGAAGGGCAGATAAAGTGCTTCTCAGATAAGATCAAATTCAAGGAGTTCATCATCACCAAGCCCTTATTATATGAAATGTTAAAGGGACTTACCTAAGAAAAAGAAGATAAAAAAGATGAACAGTGAAAGGAAGCAAAATCACAGTTATTAATAACCACACCTAAAACAAAAGCAAACTAAGAGGACAGTTAGATCAGGAGCAGAACCATAGAAATGAAGATCACATGGAGAGTTAGCAATAGGGGAATGGGAGGAGGAGAAGGAGGAGAAAGTACAGAGAATAAGTAGCATAGATGATAGGTAGAAAATAGGGGGAGGGCAAGAACAGTATGGGAAATATGGAATCTAAAGAACTTGAGACACGTGGTCATATTCTAAAGAGGGGGATGGTGGCGGAGTGGGTGTGCAGGGTGGAGGGGAATGAAGGGGGGAATAGAACAACTAATGGCATAATCAATAAAATATATTTTTTTAACTAAATTGAGTTACATCCACGATATGTCTGTTTAATGGAACTACTTCCATAAAAACACAATCTACTAAAAAGCACTAAAACTAGTGGCTAGCTTCAAGTCAACATTTTTATTACTATCATTGGAATATTCCAATGATGACTTGAAAAAAAATAAGGTTTAAATCCAGACAAAGTAAAATTTTAATAATGGGAATACTAATCCAACCATAAAAGTTTTGCCTAATTCTTTTCTTGCAAAAATGTAACTTTTGTCTTTCCTCTATTTTTTTTTAATGGAAGCAAAGTTATCTCTAAAGAAACAACTGCTGAATTTGCAGGACCTTTGGAGGACTTCTAACTACATGTCTCATAGCCACAGTTAAATATTTAAACAACATCTGTCTCCTTTCTCCAAAGACATACGCAGGGCACCACGGTACTTGGCTTCTGGGGATTACCAAGCCCTTGGTAATCTGAGGATTACTCAGAAATCCTCCCGAGGGTCAGCCTTGGTGGAGATCTCCAAAGATGCCAGTCTGGGGTCCCCCTAGTCTCAGAACCCTAGAGTCTTTCCAGCCACCCACTTTGGGGAATGCGTTCTCCCAGTACAGGAGGGCTAAGTATCAAAGGTACTGGGGAATTGAAAACATGGACTTAATGACCTACCCACGTGTACATTGGCGGGGGAGGGGGAATCTTTAAAAAATCAAATAAACAAAAAAGCAGCAAGGTCCAGCCACCTGAAGACGCAGGCTCGCCAGCTTTCCGCGGCCACTTTGCTGGCTCAGCTAGTTGTCATCTACATTCCCAGCCCCTGTTCACCTCTTGACAAATAGCCAATAGCATGGGGGGGGGGGGGGGCCCCGACGCTAGGAAGCGTGATGGCGTAAGCGCTGACGCCGGCGTGATGACGCACGAGGCGTCACCGTCTCCAAGGAGCGGTCCGGGCACCCGTTTCAAAGTGGCAAGGCGGGCCGAGTGGACTTCCGCAACTAGCCTCGGCCCTGCTGAGATCGCCACTCACTCTGCGAAGGGCACCCTCGCCAGACTTCCCGCCGGGTGTCTCCGCGCTCTCCAAGGTGCCGGACCGGACTCAAGTGACCCGCGGGACGCCTGTATCCCTCCTGGTCCCGAACCCACCCGGCTGGGATTTGTGTAAATGCAGAACAGAATGCACTTAGCGGGTCCCGAGCAAACCTGAAATCTGAAGTCTCTCTCCTGAGCCAGGAACTCGACTGGGACTCGGGAGGAGGGGGCGCGGCTCCTGCGGACACCGCGCGAGTAGGATGCTGATTACGCCGCTGGACAGCCTCAGCAGCAGCGGCGCGGTCGTTTTGTTTTCCGGCACAGCGAGCTCTGTCACTTTGAGGAAAGTCAAGGTAGTAAAGATCCAGGCTCAAATTTTGTCCAAATGGCCACAGAAAGCGACTCTCTGAGTGAGAAAAGTAAGTAAGCTCCACATTCCTTTGTTGGGAATTCTTATATGTAATATTTAATGTGATGGTTGACCAACTATTTTGTGAATGCCCGTTGGGTGCGTGGAAAATGGTGAAAACTTAAGTCAGCTGCAGAAAAGTCTTGGTGGAATATACGAGGATGTGTATATACGTCAGCAGAACCATTTGGTGAACACTTGTAGGTTCCTTAAGCTCCCGCGGGACTTTGCTATAGACACTAAACACGTTTGTTATGCTGCGCACAGGCTCTGGGGAAATTCGAGGGCAGTGGCCAGGAAGGGTGTTCGAGTCCGCAGTTAGAACCTAGAGGCAGCGCTCCGGCCATTTGTTCGTGGACGTTTATTGAGAGCCTCTTTTTTTCCAATTATGTGCCAATGCTACACAGGCATAGCTGCTACCAAAATGAAGAGGACAATGCTACCCTCCAGGAATTCAATTCGAGAAGAGAAATATATAAATTCTATAAATGCACTAAAGTGGCAGCAACTGCTAACTCCTTTGCTTCAGTTTTTTCATAGGGTTGTTGGTATGATTAAATTAGTGTTGAAATTTGTAAAGGATTTAGGTATCTGACACATAGCGCTAAGCAGATACTAATTAGTACAGACTTACCATTAAATGTTGTCAAGGAAGGTGTCATTGGGCTGATATCTGAAGTACTAATATGAGTTTGCAGTGCACCGCAAATAGAACAGTATTTGCAATACTGTTGAGGGGATTAGACTATGCTTAGTTAATGACTTGCAAGGAGGTTGGCTTGGATGGAATACGGTTTATACAGAGAAGTGACAAGTGCAGCTGAATGGGAACAACAGGGCTAGGTGATAAAGGGCCTTGCCCACCACATGTTGAGGAATTTGGACCACCACATGGGTTGCAGAAACCACTGAAAAGAAATCACTTGAGAATTACATGATCAGCTTGTGATTTGGAAAGCACAGCACAGTTAGGTGATTGTCATGTAGGTAAGAATGAACTAAGGTTGGCACAGTGAGATTGGAGATTTGGGGATTTGGGAGAAAGATGTAAAGCATAACCAGATTTTTGGCTTGAGCAACAGGGAAGATGGGGGAAAAAATGGCAGGTTCCATTTTGGAAGCATACTAGACCAGTGGTGAAGGACTAAGGCTCTGGATTCAGTCTGTCTGGACTTGCACCTTAGCTCATGCTCTTTCCAGGTCTTTGGAAAGAGCTTGGATATATGACCTTGGGTATGTCACTTAGTAACCTGTGCCTCAGTTTTCTTGTTGTAAAGTGGGTGTAAATAGCACAATAACCCCATGGGATTGTTCTGTGGATTAAAGGCGATGATGCAAATACAGCACTCAGCATGGTGTCTAGCACATATAAAGTGCACAGTATGTATTATCTAAAATCTTCAATGACACAATAACGATACTTTAACGTTAGCATTATTCTCAGGTTTGAAATGGGAATATCCCCCCTCCATAAGGAGGCAGTCAGAAACTGAATTTGGTGGGAATGAACCAGCCTGAATTCTTAGATAAAATTGAAGTAAAAAAAAAAAAAAAAAAAAACAGAACTAAGACAGTAAAAGCATAGTAAATTATTTTGCCGGGGGGAAAAATGGTCATTTACTAGAAGACAAGTTGAGTGGAAGGAGGGAGTTTCAGGGGGCAGAAGCAGCATAGGCTGAGAGGTTTGGAATAACTGTGCTTGTTCCAGAAATTGTTTGCACAAAGAGATGAGAATCGAAGGTGGATGTTGATGACCCCACCCCCACTTTTTTCCTTTAACTGGTAGTTCCCTTATTAGGGGAACCACCTAACCACCAGCTAGGTAAACATAGATGGCTTCCCTTCTCCCACCTACCTCTGACCTGCTCTACATTGGCTTCTGTTGCTCTGAGTTGCCTCTTTCTCACTTGTTCCACTTGGATTTGGTGCTCTTCACCAGGCAGCGCTACATTACACTGCCTGTTCGTGATAAAGCGTCAGCTTCACCCATCATAACTACCGCCAGTTCCACACCAACCAGTCTTCTAGTGAACAACTAGCATATTTGCACCATTCTTCCACCTCCACCTGAGAGGGGTGATCTGATCGTTCTTGGGGGCCTCCTCAAAGAGGTACTTGTCTATCAAGCTAGGAAACGAAGACTTCATTCTTGTAGTGGGGGATGGGCAGTGGGGGTAGGCTCATTTTTTCCCTTTCATTCTCTAAACAGTGTCTCTCACAGAGCAGAAACTTTCTAATTTTGATGAAGCTCCATTCATTGATTTGGTTTTTTTGTGGATCTGTGTCTTATCTAAGAAACCTTTACCTAACCCAAGGCTGCAGAGATTTTCCTTTATGTTTTCTTGTAGAAGTTTTGTAGTTTTAAGTTATACATTTAGATCTATGGTCCCTTTTGAGTTAAATTTATCCAGGTGGAGGGTAAGGGTCAAGGCTCGCTTTTTTGCATGTAGATGCCCAGTTGAAAAGAATATGCTTTCTCCATTGGAGACCTTTGCACCTTTGGTAAAAACCAGTTGTCTGTATGCGTGTAAGGTCATTCCTGGACTCTAGTTCTGTACCATTAATCTGTTTGAAGTTTTATAATAAATCTTAAAATCACATAGTGTTATTAGCCTTTTCAAATTTGTTCTTTTTCACAGTTCTTTTGGCTATCCTAGGTCCTTTGCACTTTCACATAAATTTTAAAAGCAGCTTGTCAATTTCTACAAAAATGATGCTTGGATTTTGATAGGCATTACATTGAACCTATTGATCAATTTGTATAAAATTCATATCTTAATGAGACTGAGTTCGCTGATCAATGAAAAGGTATATGTCCATTCACATATCTCTTCATTAATTTCTCTCAGCAATATTTTATAGTTTTTAATACATAGGTTTTGCACATCTTTTGTCAGATTTATCCCTGTGTATTACTGTTTTTGATACTATTATAAATGACATTATTCTTTTACTCTCATTTTTTGATTTATCATTGCTACTATATCAAAATCTTTTTCTCTTTTTTTGCCAGCTGTACCATCCAGGCTTTCTAAACTCACTTATTCTAGTAGATTTTTTGTAAAATCCATTAGATTTTCTGCATAGACAACATTTTTTTCTTGTAAATAAAGATGGTTTTACTTCATCCTTTCCAATTTAAATGCCTTTCATTTCATTTTCCTGCCTTATTGCACTGATTAAAACCTTTAATACAGTGGAGTGGACATCCTTGTCTTGGTCCTAGTATTGGGGAGAAAACATCTGCCTCTCAAAATTAAGTATGATATTAACTGTAGGTTTTTCACTGATGTACTTAATAGATTGAGAATGTTCCTTTCTATTCCTAGTTTTCTGAGAGTTTTTGTCAGAATGGATATAAGACTTTTTCAAATGATTTTTCTGCATTTAAGATAAGATGTTGTTTTTATTTTCAGTTTGTTAATAGGATGATATACATTGACTAAATTTCAGACGTTGAGCCCTTTTCTTTTTGGAGGATAAACTCCTCTTGGTCTCGATGTATCTTTTTTACATATCATTAAATTTTATTTCCTTAAAGTTTGTTTAAAAAATTATTTTATCCTCACCCAAGCACATTTTTTCACTACTTTTAGAAAAAGGGGAAGGAAGAGAGAGAAACAGTGATGTGAGAGGGAAGCACCTATTGGTCTCCACTCATAGCCCCCCAGACCATGAACCGAACCCGCAGGCCAGGCGTGTGCCCCAGCCGGTTACAGGACCTTAGCTCCAACCAGCCAGGGAAATATTGCCTCCATATGACATATACGGAAAAGGAAAGAAAACAAGTTTAAAACTAAGTGAATTATTACAAAGTTCAAAAGTCAGGTAACTACATCCCAGGTCAAGAATGCGAGGACCCCAGAAGCAAGCCCTCTTGTACTCATAATGTCCTCCTCAAAGATAATTGAGGATAACCAGTGTCTTAACTTTATACTGAAGTTCAGTGGTACCTGTGTTTTAACTTTATATAAATTAAACCATAAACTGGGTATCCTTATGTATTTGGCTCTTTTCATTCAATATTATCATATGTTTGAGATTTATCCATATTCTTGCATACAGATGAACTTTGTTAATTTCATTCCTAGAGGGTTCCAGTTTTTCAATGTGTCACATTTACTGATTTTCTTTTTTTTTTTTTTTTTTAAGATTTTATTTATTTATTTTATAGAGAGGGGCAGGGAGGGAGACAGAGAGGGAGAAAAACATCCATGTTTTTGCCTGGACTGGGAACCATACTCACAACCCAGGCACCTGCCGTGCCTTGACTGGGAATTGAACTGGTGACCCTGTGCTTTGCAGAACAATTCCCAGCGAACAGAGCCACACCAGTCAAAGCTGTCCGTTTTTCTTTTGATGGATATTTGCATTTGTTTCCAGTTTGGGGCCATTGAGAATAATGCTTATCAATAAAGGCCATCTACCTTTTTTTGTCATGACCTTTGGTCCGCAAGTGCATGCATTTTGATTGGGTCTCTTCCTAGGAATTATGTGTATGTTTAAATTTAAAGTTGTACTAGTTTACACTCCCTCTTTCTTTTCTTTCTTCTACCTTGTCACCAACATTTGTTTTCTAATTTTAAGTCTTTATTTTATTGTCACTTTAATCTGTATTTTCTGGTGCCTAGTAAGGTTAGGCAGCTTTTTTATGTTTATTAGCCATCAGGGAACCTTTTTGGGAAGTGCCCGTCAAGTCATGTCACCACTTTTCTATAGTGTCGTCTGCCTTTTAGTTGTTGGAATTTTTTATGTAGTTTAGATATAAGCCCTTTGTCAGATACATGGGTTGGAAATATCTGTGTTTACAGCTGGCATTTTGACTCTTTTAATGGTCTCATTGTGATGAACAGAAGTACTTCATTTTAACGTGGCCCAGTTTATCCGTTTTCTGTTATGGCCAGTGCTTTTTGTTTTCTGATTTAGAACTCTTTCCTTACCCCTGGCTATAAAGGTTTCCCTCTGTTCTCTTCTTGGGTTTGTTTACACTCACAAGTTGATCTTCATTTCGCCTAGAATTGATTTTTATCGATGATGTTTTACTCTCTTCTGTGAGGATGTCCAGTTGACCCAGAACCACTTCCAGAAAGATTACTCTTTCTCCCACGCTGCTCTGGAGAGCCGCTTTGATCACAGTTCAGGTGCTCACACACACGCGAATGTAGCCGTGAGTTCTCTCTCCCATTGGTCAGTTTTGTTTATTCTTATATGACTACCATGCTACCTAAATTACTGTAGTTCTGTGATAAATTCTGTTATCTGATACAGCAAGTGTTCCTGTTGCCCTGTTCTTACTTCACAAAAATGTCTGAGTTGTTTTCAGTGCATTTCCATCTATACTTCAGAAGCTACTTCTAAATTTCTGAAAAATCCTCTTAGGGATCATTAATTGGGATTGCACTGACCTAGAGATGAGTTTGTAGAGAACTGATACTTTGACAATACTGACTCCTGTAAGCCGTGTCTGTCTGCTTACTCACATCTTTATCTCCCACGTGCTTCATAGTTTTCTATGCAAGAGTCTTACACATCTTTTGATAGATTTATTTCCAGATATTGATATTTTTTAAACTTTAAATGCTACCTTTTATTATCTTCTAACTCTATGTTGTCAGTATCTAGAAATCTAATTATCTTTTATGTATTAACTTGCATCCAACAACCTTGCTAAACTTACTGATTCTAAGAATTTATCTTCCTATTCTTTACCGTTCACCACTTAAACACTGTATCTATAAATAATGACAACCTTTTCTTTTTTAAGTCCTTATACCTTTTATTCCTTTTACTTGCCTTATTGTGTTAACCTAGACCTCCAGTAGAGTGTGAATACATGTCAAAAGAATTTATTTTTGCCATTCCCAATTCCCAAGGGAAATTTTTCAACATTTTCACCCTTAGGTATGATACTTGTTGTCTGTTCATGGAGGAATCCACCATATTAAGGAAGTTGACTTTTATTCCTACATTTCTAAATCTTTATCATGAATATATCTTGAATGTCATCAGATGCTTTTTCTAAAACTTTTGAGATGATTATATTTGTTGATCCTCTTTTTGGTCTGCTTATTTTCTGTTTCTTTTTTGGAGCGACTAATATTTGTGATTTCCTCCACTTCACTTCTCTGGGTTCAACTTGCTGCTCTTTTTCTAATTTGTGGGGATGGATATGTAGTTCATCGACCTTTTCTTCTGCCCCATGCAATTAAAGATGTATATTGCTCATTAAGCTGATTTCAAGGTATTACATTTTCACTACCATTCAGTTCACAACACTTTCAAATTTGTTTAGCAATTTCTCCTGAGACCTGTGGGTTATTGATAAGTAGTTTTTTTAACTACAGAGTTTATGGAGATTTTCCCTTTGCTTTTTGGTTTTCTATTGCACTTTAATTGAACTATTTAACATGCTGTCCTTAGCTTCAGTCTTTACCTTCAGTCTTTTGAAAGTTGTTGAGACTTGCCCCATTTCAGTTTTAAATGTCCCAGGTGATCTTGAAACAATGCATATTGTACATTTATTGGGTACTGTGTTCTGCAAAAATACCATCTTGCACAATACTGACCGAGAGCTCTTGGCTTTATTTTGGACCTCCTTCCCCATCATGTCTTGCCTACTCCTGCTTAATTTGAATTCTTCATCCTGCAGTTTCTCCTCAATGTGTGGGTTTGTCCTGGAAAAGAACTTCAACAGATTTTAACCGTTCTAAAGAATATGGCTACAGCTAATCTTTCCAACTCTTTTTACTTCTAGTAGCAAAAATTTTAAAATAATTGTGCAGCATATTTTTTGACTTCTGCTAACCTAAAGAGAAAACTAGCAGAGATAGAAAATTAAAATTTATGAGATCAGAAAATTTAGTTCTTTGCAACTGTTCTTTTCCCCTTTGGCGATAGTCAGTTTTAGGTATGTAGAAGGTGCCCTAATCTTAAACCCTGACATGGAGTGTTGAAATTGATGATTTGTTTCATTTTGAGAAGCAATGAAGACTAGCAGTTTTGAATTGGTATATCACACAGTAACATCTATTTCTAGTTTCTAAAAATTGAACACTACCCAATGAACTACAAATTGGTTTTCCTTTTTCTATTTTTATTTTTTAGATCAAAGACTAAATGAAGTTCTTAGGCCATATCAAATGGAAGATCTTTCCAAATATTCAACAGTACAGGTATGTAAATTAATTAAGGTCTAACTGGTTCATTCTGGTTGCAAATATATTTACACAAATATGAAGTGAAATAAATTCCACTTCGGATTATTCTCATGTGATTCTGCCTACAGTGCTTTGAGATTTTACTTACAATTTTGATTCTTATAAAGAGGAAAGCTTGTTTTTGTTTGATGAGTGTAAATTATTCGACCATAAAAATTGCCCCTTTTTTACAGAGTTACAGCTTACATATTATGGATGTTGTTAAAATGTCTGAGTTCTAAAATGAGAATACATCATTGTTCTGAAGCATTCTAAAATTGCTTTTCAGGATACAGCCAGTTATAAACTTTAACTCTAAGTTGTTATAAATTACAACAGACTAACTCAGAATAGTAAATAATATATGACATTGTTTTAAATATATCTTTTCCCTGAGTGTGTTTTTCTGTTTTTCTATATGAATATTGTATTTAAATCTCTTTAACCCATAAGGTACCTGTTGGTGAACTCTGAGTTACAAAATGTTGAAAGAAAAACTCTTGCTCCTAGATTAGTGATAGATGTTTACTGAATTAATAAAGAAGTGTTTTGATTTCAACGTAAGTGAATCCTATAATTAAACTGAAATTGTTTTTAAGGTATTAACAAGAAAGTTCTTTTTAAAGAATTAAAAAATACTTCTTTATATTTTGGTTGCCTTGAGTGTATTTATCCTTATACATTTTTTTTTACTCTAATGTATACTCAGCATTTAACTACTGCTCTTTGTTTTTATTTCCAAAGACCAGACTCAGAGTCCAAGGGTCTTGAAAATAGCCTTTCGCTATTCACTGTGTTAATCATATTGTTTTTCTTATGTTGTCTGTTATACACATTTGAACTAACTATTAACATGTAGGTGACAGAGAATCTTTCATAATCCAGTGGCTTCTAAACTTTGGTCTGATTCTTAGGTTCTTTTGCTTCTGCTTAGTGTCTTATAAAATATGCCTAAAGGGAGGATTCAAACATACGATTGATTTTAAAGCCAGAGAAGACTTCTGGGCATGGTGCGTTGCATCATACCTACTGGAAGCTATGGCTGATTCAATTATGAAGGAAGATTATGCCAGATAAAACAATGACTCCGGTCAGCTCTTTAAATGTACCTGCATTATGCATTGTGGTTATAATTTGTCAAAGCCTAATGGTAACATACCCGGTAGGGGCACATCTTCACCCACTTAATAGTGTACTCTGTGGTGCAATTAGCTTTAATTCTCTGAAAGTATACGTCCTTCTCTGCTATTACTGTAGTCATACAATCGTACCTTCATTCCTGTCTCTTGTTCGCAGTGGTAGTATAGTGTTGCTGCTGAGGCTTCCCAGGCAGTCCACGGGCCCAGAACATGTGGCTGTCTCAAGACTCCACTCATCGTGGGTCTTACCTTTCACTGCGTGGCTTGCAGGAGTGAGAGGGGAAGTAATATGAGAGCAATATAAAGGTGGTTTCATGTTTGAAAATAAATCAGTGCAAATCACCATAATGGCAGGAAAAGGAAGAAAATTGTCTATCTCAAGAGATCTAGAAAATAATTATCAAAGTTCAGTTCTCTATGATGATAAAAATTTTCAGCAAACTAGGAATAGAAAGAAACTTCTTCAGTTTGAAAACGCTAGTTTCAAAAAACTAGATATGCATTGCACTGAAAGGTTGAAGAGTTTCCCCCTGGGAATGGAAATGAAGCAAGAACGCATGCTAAGATCACTTTTACTCAGCATCATGCTAAAGTCTGAGCAAGAACAATACATAAAAACTGAAAGGAGGAAATAACTATCATTATTTGCAGAAAATAAGATTGTATATGTAGAATATAAAAAAATCTTAAAATAGACTTAATAAATGAACCTTACAGTTTCTTTGAATACGAGGCAAAATTACAAGGTTAACTTTATTTCTGTAAGTAGCAATAATCAAATTGATAATGAAACTTAAAATAACAATGCTACATAGAGTAGCGTAAAAATATTAAATCTTTAGGAATAGTTCTAATGTAAAGTATGTAAGACTGGAAAACTATAAAACATTGATAAAATTAAAGAAAAATGAAATAAGTATAAGGATGTCCTGTGTTCATAGGTTGTAAGGTTTATTAATTGCATTCAACAAAATTTCAATCAAAATGTTAGTAGGATTTTTTTCTTCAAACTTCTGAAGCTATTTTCAAAATTTATATGCAAAGGCTAAGAAGAGCTAAGACAATCTTAAGAATAGCAAAGCTGGAGAACAGATACTAGTAAAGCTCTAAAAATTAAGACAGCGTGACACTAAGGATAGAAAAGGAAACCAGTTGAACAGACTAGAGTTCAGAAATCACTCTACCCATATCAGATTTCCATTTAGGAAAAGAAATTAATCTTGATCCTTACTCATACTATTCTCAAATATTACTTCTGAATTGATTGTGTATCCAAATGTGTAAGGTAAAATAACAAAAAACAATCATCAGAAATAAAATGATAAAGTGGACTAAGTCAAAATGAAAGAATTTGTTAAAAGACATCGGTAAGAAAATAAAGCCAAGCTGTAAGTGGCAAAACATACTGGCAGTCTGGGAAAAACTCATGCTAGATTATATAAAAAATCTCTTCAAATGAATATCACAAAAAAACTGTACTTGAAAAATAACTAAATAAAATTTAAAAAAATGAATATCAAAAAATACTCAGAAAAACAGGCGAAAGACTTGAACATGTAACGTCATGTTGTTCAACAAAGTTATAAAAAGGTGTTCGGCCTTGTTGTTTGTCAGATAAATGCAAACTAAAACAGCAGTGACGTCCTGCTACACATCTACTGACTGAAGTGAAAGGCGTGCATCCGAGTGTTGGCAAAGATGGGGAACAGCTCTCAGCGCTGCCTGTGGGCGAGTCCATCGGGACCGTCACTGTTAGAACCTGGCCCTAGTGGTCTTCAGTGTCGTCCTGGGTAGACCCATAAGAAAAGACCTTTTTCAGGAATTTATTTCACTTTGCATGGCACCAAGTTCACTAAACTTTCGCTTATCAGAACTGTGTGCTTTGATTTGATGTTTCCACAGACATGAAATGCGAAGTGAAGTCCGTGCTACCAATATGCACACATTTCTGTTAACATAGTACCCTACCCACTGTGCAAATGTGAAGGCTGCTTCTCTTCCCCTTCTTGATCTGAGTTTTCGTTGCGCTGGTCCAGGCACTTTGTGAAACTAAGTGGTGTATTTGCAAGTGGTGTATGTGTGCTTTTCTATGTGTATGTAGAACTTGAATAAAAAAGGTCTTCCTTTTCTCTACCCATTCTCCCATTCTGTGCATCTTACATAGCGTGTCTTCACTCTTATTACTGCAGTTTCCTGTTTATTTGCCCCTCCCTTCTTCACCTCTGCGTCCTACCTTACGTGAAGGACCGCGCATTGGTTCTCTTTGTATGACCTCCTGTGCCTGACATGGGCCCTTGACGCAGGAAGTAAAATAAGTGTTTACAGAGTTACGATGTTGAAAATCAGTTACGTAAAACTTTGGAATTCAGAGGCTTCTTTCAGCTGTGCCTTTTATTAGTTTTTAATTGTGTATGTGATCATGAATACCTTTTTCCATCAAAAAAATCCCAGAAAACTACAGATCCCTTAAAAATCCCTTTGAATCCCTCATTGTTCCCCTCAGTCCCACTCCCCCCACCCACAGAACTGACCTCTTGATTTTTGTGATATATCCATGTTGATATGTATAAATCTTGTTAAGTCCTTGAACTACTTACAGGATCTTGTTGCATTATTTTTCAGTTATCCTATGGAGGGACTTTTTTCTCTTTTTTATTACAATAAATGCCACACTGAACATTGTCATACATCTCCCTGTGCTTGACTATTCCTCCATCTTTGTACAAGATACTGAATTTTTGGTCATGCTACATGCTGACATGTTTTGCTGGCATTTTAACTTCACCTATGGTGCCTTTGGCTGTATAGAAGTTTTAAGTTTAGACATGAAATATGTCAGTCCTTCTGTTACTAGATTGCAATGCTTGTGTTTTCCAGCTGGAAGATGTGTTTTGAGTGAGAGTGTGCCAAGCACTGCTTGGATGGTTGCTGAACGAGACAGACAAAAGGCATCTTTAGTTTGGGAGCTTAAGAAAGCTTTCTCTACCCCAAGGTCAACAACACATTTTCTTTCAATAATTGTTAAATATTTTTAAAATTTTGGATCTTTACTCTATCTGAAATTCATTTTCTCCACTTAGTATTGCTGGAAGCTAATTTATTTTTGATACTCAATGTTATTAGTTGGAAAGCAGTATTTTGTCCATTCAGTAATAATTTCACTTTTCATTTATCACACACCTATAAAAACTTGAACCTATTTTTTGATTTCCAATATTGTTCTGTTTGTTACTGTGTCTGTACCATATTGTTTTAATCCCTCTAACATAGTGATTTGCTGTGTAGAAGGGCAAGTTCTTCCTCCTTCCCTCCCCTGCTTTGCTGGATTATCTGACCTATTCTTGCACATTTACTCATACAGCAGAACTTGAAGAGCTGTTTAATCAAGTTTTATAAGTTCTTCTATTGGATTTTTTTTGAAATTTTATTGCAGTTGCAGTGAATTTTAGAGAATAAATATACTAACAATATTGACTATTCCACACTTCCGTGAGTATGGGATGGTATCCAGCTTATTCAGATCTTCTTTTATGTCCTGAGGTATAGTTACTGTTTCAGCGAAGTTGCTGCAGCATTTTTTGGTTGTTTTTATTTATTAAGTACTACCTTTTGTTACAGTAATGAATAGGGTTCTTTTTCTATGACATTTTCTAATTATTGCTAGTATTTGGAAAAGCCACTTTTTCATGTTGGTGACTTAGTGTACTCTCTTATTAGCTCTAATAATTTCATCTGGTGACTTAGTGTACTCTCTTATTAGCTCTAATAATTGGTAGATTCTATGTTAATGGTCAAATTGTCTGTAAATAATAATCGGGTTGGCCAAAGAGTCCATTACATTTTTTTCCATATGTCTCCAGTACTGCTTAGTTGTCTTTAACTTCATTCAAAACAATTTTGTTAGATTGCGTTGTGACAGCTGTCATAGCAGCACGCATTTAAAAACAACACCAAAATGGGTTAATTTTTGTGTAGCCATTTTAATATTGAAGATGGAAGAAGATATGTAACGTTTGGCATATTATGCTTTAGTATTTCAAAAAAATTAAAAATGCAAGGAAAGCATAAAAAAAACTTGTGCAGTGTATGGAGAAGGTGCTGTGACTGATTGAATGTGTCACCAGGGACTTGTGAATTTTCTTGGTACTATCAACATTTTGGCCAAATAATTCTTTGCTGTGGGGCCGTCTTAGGCATCGGAAGATGTTTAAACAGCACCCCATTCTCTATCCACTAGAAGCTTATAGTGGAAGACAGCCAATATTCTTAAAATGTCCAAATCAATAAAGTTATTGTAGGAAATGAAAAATTGCAGAAAAAAGCATAACAGACTTTTTGGCCAATCTAATAATATTTTACCTTCTCGTTCAACCTTTAAATCTTTGACCTGCTCACATGACAGATTGCATTGACTAGAACCTCTAGTACAGACTGAACTTTAGTGATGATGAGGAAGCAGCCATATATATAATGAATTTAATGCAGTGTTTCTGATGCTTCATCATGAACAACAGTAATTGAAGTAGGTTTGTGGTAGATTTTTTTTTAACAATTTGAGAAAGTTCTTTCTATTTTTAGTATGCCAAGAGTTTTTATTGTGTATGGGTTTTTAAATTTACCAAATACATTTTTAACATCAGATGAGATGACTTTTTCTCTTCTTTTTCATTGCATTAATAGATGTTCTAAGGTTACAAACATTTTAATCGTATTTAGTTTTAAGTTACTGTCAGTTTCAGCTGGAATGACCTGAGAAAACATTTTAAGAGGAAGTGTTTTCTTTCACAGAATGCTGCCTTTAAAGGAGAGGGGGATGACGTTTTAGGAAACTCAGTTGTCAACCAAAGGTAAGGTGGAGTTACCAGAAAAATATGATTTTCTTAATTACACTTAATTATTGCAAAAATAATTCCTTTAGTGTTAGGAATGTGTATTCTGTGGTCTGCTATATAGTAATGGGTTTGAATGATCTGTCATCGAATTGAAAAGAAAAGCTACCCAGTGTTACAGTCTAGGCGGGAGCTCTCCACTGGGGTGCTTTGCCTCCCTCGCCACCCCAGGTATTTGACAAGGTCTGGACACACTTTTGCTCTTCAGAACTGCGGAGGGTCAGGGTGCTGCTGGCATCTATTGGGCAGAGGCCAGGGGTACCGCTGAACAACTACAGTGCACAGATCCGCTCCCTGCAACAAAGACGATTCAGCACAAAATACTGATTGAGCTAAGGTTGAGACCCCCTGGTTTAGGAAAAAGGCAAAGTATTGATTGCTGTTGGCAAAATTATAATAAGAATAGATGTTCTGATGTCCAATTTATTTCATAAGTTACATATTTACTAAACCAGGTTGAACAGAACGTGCCTTATGTTTTTATATTCTTTCTTTAGCATTTTAGCACCTCTTATTACTGAGTATGATAAGCAACTGGAAGAGCTAAATGGGCAGCTGAAATATTATCAGGTATGACATCATAGTTATTTATCTTTCTGTAATATAGAAAATAGTAAAGTAGACTCCTTTCTTTTTAAAAACCTTGATAAGAAGAAAATATTTAGCTCTCTGTAAGGGTGTGTGTACTTTGTGTGCGAAGAGTGTCTTCAGTTTGGCTTTTAATCCAGTGTTTCCCTGCTCTTGCTCTCCGGCAGGAGCATCTCTTCGATGCGTAGAAGCACCCCTTTCTGTCAGTTGCTTACGTGTTTAGTTTTCCCTCAGGAAGACCCAAAACCATCTCCCCTCGTTTAGACCTTTCTCTACTGTCATTTCATCTGTGTTTCCCATTATTTTGAGAATAAATTATTTTCTGAATTTCAAATATTATGTCTATCAGATCTTAGAAGCTATTGATCCATTTCTAATATAGGCTTAAGCTGGTCCAGCTTTTTTCTAAAAGCTTTTATTATTTTAGAAGAGGAGTGGGAAATGGAGGAAGCTGTTATATGGACGGATTATCATCATGGGTCCCTGCAGCAGGCTCAGGGAGAATGAGAAAAACACGGCACATTATTATTTGGGTTACTATCTGAATTTCAGCTGGCTACAGTTTTAGAGTATACCTAACATCTATAACCTGTTTCTTTGACTTGAAAATGTTTTCTTCATTTTCCCCCTCAAATTTTGGCTTTTTTGATTACTGGATAACCATACAGTAGAAGCGTTTCTTAAATAGATGGTATGTGTCTCCAGGTAAGCCCACCAAGTGATGATGTCTTAGGGTTTTAACATAGTCATCTTTGTGTTTGGCTCCAATACCAATCTTTGCATCAGTTTAGTGGTGATAAGAGTAGCTGGCTAGCCTTAATTGAATGCAAATAAAAGAACATATAACAACATTATATAAAAACTACCCCCTGAGACTGACTTTTTCAGATAAGGGCTATGAACATGGCAGACACTAAGGGCTTTATATCTCTTTCTTTTCTTTTCATGCATTGACAGCAAGAGAGCCCACCATGTGCTTTGGACTCTAGCACATAGTAGGCCCTCAATTTTTGTTGTATAAACAAATGTCAGCACTTATTGGACAAGATGATTAGAGCTAATATAACAGTCTGCTATTTATAAAATAATGGTTTGATATGTGGCTTTACTAAAAGAACACACAATGCTTATATCTTTGAAAAATGAAGTTCTTTCATTAAGAATTAACATCATAAAAATGTCCATATTACCCAAAGCAATTTATAGATTCAATGCAATCCCTATTAAAGTACCAATGACATATTTCACAGATATAAAACAAACATTTCAAAAGTTTATATGGAACCATAAACAACCCCAAATAGCCTCAGCAATTTTGAGAAAGAAGAAAAAAGTAGGAGAGATCACAATACCTGATATCAAAATGTATTACAAGGCCGCTATAATCAAAACAGCCTGGTAGTGGCATAAGAACAGACGCATAGACCAATGGGACAGATTAGACAGCCCAGAAATAAACCCAAGTCTCTGCAGTCAATCAGTATTCAACAAAGGGGTAGAAGCATTAAATAGAGTAAAAATAGCCTCTTCAACAAATGGTGTTGGGAGAACTGGACAGCTACATGCAAAAAAAAAAATGAAACCTGATCACCAACTTATACCATACACAAACATAAATTCAAAATGGGTAAAAGACTCATTATAAGTTGTGATGCCATAAAAGTCCTAGAGGAGAACATAGGCAGGAAAATCTCAGATATTTCACATAGCAATATTTTCACTGATATGTCCCCTAAAGCAAGGGACAGAAAGGGAAGAATAAGCAAATAGTATCTTATCAAAGTAAAAAGCTTCTGCATGGCTAAAGAAAACAGCATTAAAATGAAAAGAGAACCAACCATATGGGAAAACATATTTGCCAGTAATGCCTTAGACAAGGGTTTGATCTCCAAAATAAAGAAAGAACTCACACAACTCCACTCCAGGAAGACAAACAACCCAATTAAAAAATGGGCAAAGGACTTGAACAGACACTTCTCCCAGGAGGACATACAGAGGACCCAGAGACACATGAAAGGATGCTCAGCATCACTAGCCATCAGAGAGATGCAAATGAAAACCACAATGAGATATCACTCACACCAGTGAGAATGGCCATCATAAACAAATCAACAAACAGCAAGTGTTGGAGAGGATGCAGAGAAAAGGGAGTCCTAGTGCACTGTTGGCAGGAATGCAGACTGACACAGTCACTATGGAAAATAGTGTGGAATTTCCTCAGAAAACTAAAAATGGACCTGCCTTTTGACCCGGCAATTCCTCTGCTGGGATTATGCCCTAAGAATCCTGAAACACCAATTCATAAGAACCTATGCACCCCAGTGTTCATAGGAGCACAATTCACAATAGCCAAGTGCTGGAAGCAACCTAAGTGCCCATCAGTAAATGAGGGGATCAAAACCCTGTGGTACATTTACAAAATGGAATACTATGCAGCAGAGAGAAAGAAGGAGCTCCTACCCTTTGCAACAGCATGAATGGACATGGAGATCATTATGCTAAGTGAAATAAGCCAGGCAGTAAAAGTCAAATACCATATCATCTGACCTATAAGTGGAATCTAATCAACAAAACAAATAGGCAAGCAAAATATAACCAGAGACATTGAAATTAAGAACCAACTGACAGTAAGCAGAGGGGAGGTGGGAGGGGATAGTGGGGGGAGAAGGAGGAAGGGTTTTCAGGAACATGTATAAAGGACACATGGACAAAACCAAAGCGGGGTGGGAGGTGGGGATGGCTGTGGTGGGGATAGTGGTGGGGGGAAAAATGGAGACAACTGTACCTGAACAACAACAACAAAAAAGTTTAAATAAAGTTCTTTCATTTCATTTGAAGTTATTTATGTTTTTCATTTCTAAGTTCATTCTTCTAATATGCAAACTTATAAAGTGGTTCTGTAGAACCAAATTTCAAAAACAAACATCTCATTACATTTGCAGTTTATCACAAGTTAAGGGTTTCCCTCATCTTTACTGTGAGTGCTCTTTAGCCTGTGCTCATTTAACTTTTGAGCCAACCATAGTAATGTCCTTTAATCTTTCTATTTGACAGTAGCAACAAAAAGCTCTTTTGCACAAATGGCATTTTGCTTTTATTTTTAGGACTAGTGTGCTTTAAGTTTCTGCTAAATTCACTCTCTTGGATTTGCTATAATGACGTATGTGGATTTGATTGTTACAAAATGAAATAGCTTGTTATCATGAAATTAAACTTTTAAAAGTTTAATTTTTCATAACTATCTGATTTATATGTCTCTTTGATTGGCCATTTTACTAAGGGTTTAACTTCATTTTTCATTTGGTGTTCTCCATTTAGGATTGATAGTGCTGAATTAATGACAGGAGAGAAGCTGAAAGCCCAAGGGTCTATGATAAGAACAGTTGCTACTTTTAGAGATATGAAAAGATGCTGATAGCTACTTCTAGGAACACCAGCTCACACAGATATTATTGATCAGAACTAGTACTTAAGACTTATTTTATTGACCCAGTCAAAAAATAGAATGTCTTCAAAGCAAGAAAAGTATTGCTATAATTCTCTATTTGAAAGATTTTTCCTTCCAGAAAATGTAAATAACAGGAGGAAATTTGATGATGTGAGAGGTACTGCTGAGATTTAGTTTCCTTCCAACTGCTAAGTGTTTGGGAATGTTTTACACTGAAAAACATTTGGCCTGGCAGTAACGATCCACCTTTAATCCTGGCAGGTGCATATAGATCCTACCTGAGAATTATTTGAGTAATAAGAATACTTTTCAAAGTATTCTGACATTTTTGCAACTTGTAAAGATCAATTAGTTAGTGTGTTTGTTTAATTTCAAAGTGGGGATAACTGCCGCACTAAAGTCCAGACCTCCTAGGTAGCATGGCTTTCAAAGTCTGCCGCTCATCTTTTTAATTCTCTCTCTCACTGCCATTGCTGCACGCAAGCTTGGATCTCGGTTATCTGGTAGCAAATTCATTCATTTTGATTTGTAATTCAGGCACAACAGGGGCCTGGGAAAGGTTCCTCTTCCCAGCTAGTTTTGTAGGCAGAATTGGCTGCTACTGAGTTCTGAGGCCAAGCTGCCCTGAGCTTCTGCAGGAAGGGAGGGAGGCGGGGAGCATCAGCGTTTCCACCTCTCCTTGCTGGGCTCCCTCCTGCTTGGCTCCTCTCCTCTAGCCTCGGTACCCAGTCAAGACTAACGGGATGATCAGGAGTTGGGTTTAACTGGATTTCACATGGCCTTCTTCCTGCACTTCATTTCCCACTCACCCTTATGGACAGCTGACTGTCACTCTTGTGTTAGCTGTATTTTTTGCTGGGTTGCTGTTAGTTATACTTCTTTCTACCTGAAATGCCTTGTCCTTTTGTACTGAAATCCTATTACCCCTTTATCCTTTCAGAGGAAATTAATCAAATCTTCATCTCATCCCTTTATAGTATATATTTTATTCTTCTTTGTATTTTAGTCATCTTTTTCCTTCTTTCCTTCCCAAGTACATGTTAGTGACCACATTGGTTTACCATAACAGCCTCATGTAGTGCAGAGAGTTTAGACAATTAGTAAAAGTTGTGAATCAGAAACTGGAAGAATAAATGCTAAAGATCTTGACTTTTTTTTCACTATTAATATTTTACTTTTTGAAATACAAGTGCCTATTTAGGCTCCACCTAAATGAAGGTGAATTAATTGAAATATATATTCATGGTAAAGGAAGCATCTGATACTTGTTCTAGTGACATAATGATATCTTTAATCTCTTTTTTCTGTAATCATCTGCAAGTCATAAGAATCACATTTAAAACCTATCTCAATTTGTTATATAAAGTACTTTTCTATATATTCTGTTCAGAATGAATGTTTTAAGATTTGTGTATCATTAATATATTCATATTTAATATTGCTTGTTCGAAGTAAAGAACAATTATTTCTCATTTGGGGACTAGGGCCATAGAATATGACTGCTTGCGTATGAATGGATGACTTAGTAGAGATCTGATTGTCTGGGAAATGTATGACCACAGCTGCATTTTATTCCTTTAGAAACAGATGGGTGAGATGAAACTGCAACTTGAAACTGTCATCAAGGAAAATGAGAGGTACTGTATCACGTAACTATTGGTTCTTATTGTCTCGGATAAGTTTTATTGTTCTTTGAGATTTTATTTATATAATAAGTATATTTATATAGTGTAACTGTACTTGTACAGTTATGAGTATGGTGTCTCGGGCCTGATTTCTAGTTTGGTTCCCGGCTCCATTGCTTACTAGCTGTGGCCCTGGACATGTCACTTAGCCTCTTTGTACTGTAGGTTCTTCATCTGTAAAGTACATGAAATAGGCTACATGATAAGCATTTTTTAAATGTTAGCAATTATTGTTATGGAACATATAGATAAAACAAAAACCTGTCAAGCACCCACCCAACTTAAGAGCCATTATGTCACCAAATTGGGGCATCTGCCCATGTGTTCCTTCTCCAGCCCATCCTCCTTCCCTCTGCAAGAGGTGAACCCGGCCTTGAATATTTACTTGTCATGTTCTTGTGTTTAAAAGTTTTTATATGTGTACGCATTTGTAATAATACATTGTTCAGTTTTCAGTTATTTGTGTTAATAGTAAATCATGTTTTATGCTTACAATTATATGCAGTTTTGAAATTTTTATGATATTATAAAACTTTTTTCTCCTAGCTTTGTATAATTTTAAAATAAAATAATCAGTCTCTTAATTTGTACATTCCTTTGCTTTTTTAGCTGTTTTAAAGTATGAACTATCTGATAGTTTAATATTAATTTTACATTGAATTTAAGGTTTTCAGAATTACAGTCAAGTCATGTAAGAATGTGCTTTAAAAAGCCTCAGTAATCTGTATTTTATAACTAGCAACAGTTTCATTGTCTGATCACTAACTCAAGATGAGTAAAATGTCAAATACGTTTTGTGAAACACAGTAAAGAAAATAACAAATAATTCTATAAGATTTAATATCCCATTTCCATTTAATATACTAAAAGAAAACACTATCACATTTTAAATGTCTATCTGAATGTCTTGTTTTATCAATTAAAATGTGATACCTGAATTTTACCTTTTTGAAAATTTAAAAACTCCCTAGGAAAAACTGAATTAGACTTGAATTAATTATTTCCAATTTAATGCATTTGAAATTGTAAGATAATGCTTTTATTCTAAAAGCACAATATTGAATGGTAATTAAAAACTTATAATTTTTGAGGTGTGCTTAAAAATTATCTTTATAGTAAAGAATTCTGTTTTAACCCAAATGTTTATTTAATTAACCCTGAAACCTTAATTAGTGTTAGTAAAGTGAATTTAGATGATTGCTGTGTTGACCATTTTTCCCGAAGGCTGCACAGTGAATTAAAAGATGCTGTTGAAAACCAGTTGGAGGCCCTTCCCCTTGGCATTGAGATGAAAAGTGATATATATATAGATGATGAAACAGTCAAGAATCTTCAAGAACAATTACAACTAGCCAATCAAGTGAGTGATGTATATATTTTTTAATTAGTTTCTGAATAAACAGTTTTTAAAAATCCATGTTAATCATTATTTATGAATTATGATAGCACAGTAACAAAATCGTGAACACAATTTTCTACAATTTACACAATAATTAACATGTAACCAACCTTTTAAATAATACCCTGATTGTTATAAATATACTTGTCAAATATATATTTTAATTGACTCATAAAGCTGGGACATGAATTTATTTTATAAAATATTTTAATGTGAAAGGATATTTTTAAAGAGAAAAATCATCAGTTATCCACTTTCCTAAATTTGTTTTTTTTTTAATTTCTTTATTTTCTTCCATTTACAAAGATTATGGAATTATATTTTTCAAAAATGATACTTCTAGAAATATGTTCTTTCTTGTTTTATCTTCCCTCATTGTACTGAAATATTTGATAAGCCATGTTATGAATATTCTGTGTTCAGTAGTAATTTTTATTTTATAGTTATCTGTGAAAAGTCAAATATTTTTTTTCCTCAGAAATTTGGTTTTGGAATTGTTTACTTGTGAAAGCAGCATTTTATGTTAATCAGATAGGTTGTATTTACCTTGATATCAGGAGCATGTATTTAGCACAGATTTTTTTCATCTGTAAAGGAAAGGAGTTGGAAAGGCCCTAGAAGGCAGAAATGTGAGGAAATTGTGTTTTTTACTTTGCTCTAGACCAATGTTATCAGAAGGACTTACAAATATGTATGCAGAAGAAATATGTAGTAGTTTGCAGTTTCAAACTACTATATTGTAGTTTCAAAAACAAAATTTTAAAAATTAGCTTGTCTCTAAAAAGCATCTCTCTATGGTAGTTTTGTTGCTGTAATTTCCAGTGCTAAATTTTATTAAAACTTGAAAATTACTTATTCTTTTCTAACCAAATTTTTCAGCTCTACTTTTTAAAACCATACTCCCATTCCTTACCCTTTTCTTCTCCTATCTTTTGTCTCTCTGCCTCCACATCACAAGATGTGGGGCAAAAGGTCTCACTTTTTTGCTGCATTTGGATCAGGTATTTCATAGAAGATTTGTTGAGGTCCAAGTTTGAGCAGTCAAAAGGGGAAAAGCAGCCCTGGCCGAATAGCGCAGTTGGTTAGAGCATTGTCCTTACAGGCCAAAGTTCCCAGTTCGAGCCCCAGTCAGGGGGCATACTGATACCAGAAGCAACCAATGTGTGCATAAATAAGTGGAACAACAAATTGATGTCTCTCCCCCACCTTCTGTCTCTAAAATCAATAAGTTACCCAAAAAAATGTTTAAAGGAAAAGCAGATTAGCTGCAGGTTTTTCCACGAAGGTTTCTTTCTGACTCTGCCATTAGTTGCTGAGGAAACCTATGCCCATGGCTCGAACTTCAGTTTTCAGGTCTCTAGGGAGAAAACAACGCTTTCTGCTCACTTAGCGTTTCTCAAACTCTTTGGTTTCAGAACTGCTCTTCAGGAGACTTAAGAATTATTAAGGACCCCAAAGAGCTTTTTGTGTTTGTAGGTAGGTTATCAGTTTTTATTGTGTTACAGATTTAAGCAGACATTTTTTAAATGAATGGGGGCATAAGAACACATTCTGGTGGCCATCGGAGTGATGAGAGCATCACACACCACGTCTTACAGACCCTGGGAAACTCCACTGTGCTGCCAACAGAAGATGAGAGTCCACACAGCAAATGATTTGTTTCATTACAAACATAATTTTGACTTCAGGGATCCCCATACCACACTTTGAGAATTGCTATATTGAAAGAGTAATGACTTGAGAAGATTCTCATTATAAATACCAACTGAAAATAGTATAATGCAGAGAGTACACTATATGATTTCCAATTTTGTTCAAAGAAAAAAATACAAAAATTTCCCCCAGAATCACATTTATAAACATCAGTACATCCAACATTTACAAACATGATTATAATCAAATGTTAGTAATATTTACTGTTAGTGGTAAAATTATAGGTAATTCTTATTTTCTTCTCTATTTTTCTGTGTTTTCCTAATTTTCTACAATAAACATTTATTCTACAATCACAAAAAGTCCTGTACTTGCTTTACTGGGGCAATTTTCATTATCAGTAATTGCTAAGGCTTACACTCTATTGATGAGGAAGGAGAGTGGTTTAATCCATATCTCTGATTTAAGGATTTTAATTTTACCTATGAAATCTAAGGAAAATTTGAAGGAAAGAAATTTTCATCTTCTGTTTTATTCTCTAAATTACTAATACAGCTTCATATCATCAAAAAAACATTGCAGTCAGCCCTGCCTGGTGTGGCTCAGCTGGGTGGGCACCGTCCCCACAAGGCAGAGGGTCACCTGTTCGATTCCCGGTCAGGGCAGGACATGTGCCTGGGTTGCGGCTTGAGTTCCACTCACGGGGCATCTGAGAGGCAACCTATCAATCTTTCTCTTTGACATTGATGTTTCTCTCCCTCTCTGCCTCCTTTCCCCTCTCTCTAAAAATATTTTTAATATTACAATTATACCATCTTCACAAAATTTTATTTTTGTTACTTTAGATAGAAGAACTTATTCTATAAAAGAATATGGTTATTTTGTACTACACCATGGCCTGCTAATAAGTTAATGAGTTCTCAAATATTTTTGTTTCACAGGAAAAAAATCAGGCCGTGGAACTCTGGCAGACCGTTTCTCAGGAGCTGAACCGACTGCAGAAACTTTACCAGGAACACATGACTGAGGCCCAGATTTATGTAGCTGAAAGTCAAAAACAAAAGGTAATCTTGGGTATCACAGTTTTCTTTTATATCAGTAAGAAATCGCATTCTGGAAAAACTCGGGTTTGGAGAGGAATGCCTGTGTTTCTAATGTGTCATTTAGGTTAACAATAAACAGATCTTTGGTGGCTAGAGGTCTTCTGAACAGATAATCATAGCAGTTCCTGGTGTGTATGGGGTGTGAGAATGTGCACAGCAGTGAAAGCCATGTTTAGTGTTAAGAAGCAGCTATTAGATTATTATGTATAAATGGGCTTCTAAAGCTTTTATATTCTTGGTTTCCTACCAGGCTTAAAAGAGCAAAACTGCTCATTGGATCGTGACCAATGAAGAAATTTGTTCAACTATAATGACAACACTATGTAAAATGAACATCGACACCTTTAAATGTGACCTTTTACTAAAATAGATTTCAAGTGTGTGTCTAACAGAAATTAATCAGAATAGAACTTTACCATAGGAAAGGATCTCAGTGACTCCTTAAAGACTTCTTTTTATCCAAAACAAGAATCATTTTATATCACAGATGGCAAACACAAGGCCTGAATCCAGCCCTCCACCTGGTTTTACCCGGCCTGGCACTTTGTTTCTACCTGGCAACAGCACCAAACTCTCGCTTAACTATTAAGGAGTAGTGACATTTATACAGTCCTAGAGTTGCACTCAGCCGTTTGAAGGTAACCATAAGGCTGATGTGAAGATGAGTTTGACACCCGTTCTATATTCTTCCAGAGTGGACGTGTCAGTTTCACTTCACACTTCTGTTGACAAGAACCCCCATAGCACAGGGTCGTTCATCCTTCAGAAAACCACTTCCCTTACCCTTTAATTTGCCCTTTTTCTGCGAGGTGCATTGAAAACTGTGGAGTAACTTCAATCCCAATGGCCTTTCTACCTGAAGAAGTCACAACAGTACTTACATGGTGCTTTGCAGTTTATGAAATAACTTTTCACTCTATGCCCTGGTTTAAAAGTAACCCGTGTGATCTGACTCATAGACTGTTGCCGCTGACGTATAGAGACCATTTCTAATATAAGTATGTTCTTCAAGGTTGTTTCTTTATGGAGGTCAGTCACCTAAGCCATCGTGGTTTGGTTTTTTCCACCTGAGGATTACGTTTGCACTGTAGCTGTGCAGTAATTTCTTTTCACAGTGCTCCACGAACGATACTATGATCTTATTTCCCCAGTTCTCTATCGGTCTTTAATTCTGTCCTCTGACAGATGAACAGCTCCTCCCAACTGTTTGCCGCCTGCACATGTAACGTTTAATAGGAATATCACAGACAGTCAAACGATTAAAACTTTGCGGCATTCAAGCTTCGTGCATCTTAGAAGGCGGGGAGTCGGGCAGCAGTACCTCCTGGCCGTGTTGCACTGTAGGTTTGAACAGGTTGCACTGCGCGTGCCAGCGCTGGACAGGACGTCTCTAGCACGCCTATTTGCTAGTGAACCGATTTCTAGATTATGGTGTCACAAAAAACAGAAAAAACTACGTTACTTTCCATGTTGTCTACTTACTTAATTTTGTAATCATTTATATAAAAATGTATGATTTCGCCCTGGCTGGTGTAGCTCAGTGGATTGAGTGCGGGCCTACAAACCAAAGGATCGAGGTTTGATTCCCAGTCAGGGCATATACCTGGGTTGCAGGCCAGTTCCCAGCAAGGGACACACGAGAGGCAACCATACATTGATCTTTCTCTCCTTCTCTCCTTCCTTTCCCCTTTAAAGATAGATAGATAAATAAATAAATAAATAAATAATTTTTAAAAAAAAGAAAAATGTATTATTTCTTCAACTGTTAATTCACACAATAATAAAAACAGCACTTATTTGATCTAGACTTGGACGTAATGATTTTAAACTTTGCTTCAGTTCCATTGTAAATCAGAGTTGCAGACTGAATGCTGTGTACCTCTCTCCTCCCTGTTTGACTGCAGGATCAGCTGAGCGGCTTTCAACAGCTGACCAGGCAGCTTCATGTCACTAATGAGAACATAGAAATGGTAAGTGAGTCTATCTATGTAGTGTCCTTTTTTGTTTAAAGTAGAAATTGTCACTATAAATATTTAGTGCTAATGTAAATTAGTGACAAAATGATGGTTGCATGAAATTAAACTAGGTAAGTGTAAGGAGTACTCTTTTCATCTTTTTCTTTCACATTTAATAACATGACAGAAGAGTTAAAGCTAACATCTATCTGAAATGTATTTTTTAATATATTTTATTGATTGTGCCATTACAGTTGTCCCATTTTTCCCCCTTCATTTCCCTCCACCCTGCACACCCCCTCCCCCCACATTCTCCCCCCTTAGTTCATGTCCATGTGTTATAAGTTCTTTAGCTTCTACATTTCCCACACTACTCTTGCCCTCCCCCTGTCTATTTTCTCCCCACCTTCTATGCTACTTATTCTCTGAACCTTCTCCCCACTTCTCCTCCCACTCCCCTGTTGCTAACCATCACAGGGAGGGTTATCTGAAATGTATTTTAATTTGAAAATACCCTGGGGTCCCTGGTAGGATCTCCTGAGAGTAATCTACATTTGACCTCAAGAAAAGGACTTGTGCGCAGCTAGGCATGCGCAGTAGAACTGTTACAGCAGTGAAAGGCCTCATTGCTCAGCAACAACAGGACACTGAGAAGCAGCTTGTAGTTGACTGACCACTGGTACTCACTGTGCACCTAAGTTTCCCTATTTTTTTTCTCTAAACAAATGTAATTAGCCCTTCCAATTCTGTTCTTTAGAATTCTTTCTCTAACTCTTCTTTCATATTTTTTCTTTCTCTTGTCTTTTTCCTTTTCCTTCTTGAGGTCTTATTTCACCTCATTGTTGAGTAACAGGATTGTGACACCTCAGGTAGTTACTCTTTCCTTTTTCTGTTTTACTTAGTTACTCAGTTACTTCTTGTTAGCACCTAATGAAAATGTCTGTGTTTAAGTGCGGTGTGGTGCCATCAAACGTAAGTTATACAATTCTATGTTTTTCAATTTTCTCCTTTAACCAGGTAAAAGTATTAAATCAGCTTTACCCTATTTTACTTATGTTAACATTTGGAATTTCTGGTCACTTATAATTTCTTATGATATACTTCTTAGGGTTTTAAAATGGTATTAACAATATCCAAAACGAATGACTGATTTCCATAATTTAAAAAGCCTGTTTCTACATGAAATTAATAGTGTCACTTCACAATCATTCCTTGTTTCAGAATACCCCCTAGAATTGTGGGATTGTGAAACTCTTTGGTATATTGTGCAGCCCCTATTTTATCATAAACAACCCAAAAGCATTGTGATGAAAGTCATGAGAAAAGAATGTTTGAATAACCACAGGAAATACACTAAAAATTTCTACAGAATGGATAAAAGAGAGCCGTTTTACAAAGAGCAAATAAAAGACTACTGTGGTGAGAATAAGGAAAATGGTTAGAGAAACTTTAAAGTGTAAGGGTGTTTCTTAGTGTACATATGAAGTATCAGGCAGGACTGCGGGTGCAGAGGAAGGCGGCGAAGTGACCGTGACGATCTCGTGCATCTCAAAGCACATTCAGAGCCTGGTCACAGGGCAGGTGTCAAAATCAACCTGAAGAAAAGTGCCCTCTGAGCATTAAACAGCTTCTATTTAAAAGTTTCCTGATTACATAAATAAACTCATTAAATGAATAGGTTTCTATGGATGTATAAAAAATCGACAAGTATAAACCAAGTAAATAAAATGGCTTTTGTGACCAGCGCACATCAATAATATGCCAGAGGTAAAATGCCCTGACCTGAATGGTGCCTAGAAGGACAAGTTTCATTTAGTTATGTGTCTGTAGATATACTAGGAGTTCTGTTTCCAACAAATTCTCTTTACTTGAAATCATATTCTTTTTCTGAGGTTGCTTATCTCTATAAAATTACTCAAAAATATGTTAACTACATATTAAGTTCCTTGCACTGTAATAGATTCTCTAGTTGCAAGAGAAGCTACATGTATCCACAGAGCCCCGCTCGACCCATGGAAACAGGAAAGACTATGAAATAATCAGTGAATCGAGTGCTGAAATAGATGATGACTGGAAGGGATGTGTCCTTGGGCCTTAACGAGTCTCCACGTCCAGGAATCTTCCACGTCTGCATCTGATTGCAGACACAGAACAAAGCTGTGTTTCAGGTGCAGTCGTTGAGCTCCTATTAGGACGGCTGCCAAGTTCAGTGTGTTACCCACACTGGCTTCTGAAAATTCACGATGCTTATTTATACTTCTTCCAATTATTCTATATCATTTAGCTTTAAGGTGCTTCCAAATAGTACAAAAAAGCACAGCATTATTTACGCTAGTTCCAAAACAGGACATGTAATAAAGCATCAATCGTGCAATACAGATAACCATAGAGGATTTCAGAGGAGTGAGTCGGTTTGGACCAAAGTCGTTGAAGCAGCTTCACAGGAGACTTTGAATTTATTAAAGGTCACCTACTGCCCCAAACGAAATAGACATCCGCCTAGTAAATGCTTTTCAGTAAGATGATAATTCAGCCTCTGCTTTGACTATTCCCTGTAAGAGATATTATACTTCCCATAACAGCCTTTTCCTTTCAACTCTGATTATTGGAAAGCTAAAAATCTCTCATCAGATTTCTTCCCACTGATACGTGGTTTTATCTTTTGCAGTAAAATAGAAATTTCATTTCTTCAACTCAGCCCTTCAGTTATTTGCATGTAACCATATGTCTTTCCTGATTCATGCCCAATGTTACACCCAGGTTTTGTTATTTTTAAAAAATTTTTGATGTATAATTTACCTACTTATTATTCTGTCCTCCTTTCTCTGCCTGTGGTAGTTGGTCTCTTGAATTGTGGTCTGTGAGTTGAATACTGAATTCTGGTCTGCAGCAGTCCACTTCCCAAGATAACAGTGAAGATGCAGTCCAGAGGCTTTCTTCTTTCATGTCTCATAAAGACATCCATTCATTCATCTCTCGGAAGTATAAGTCCCAAAAATGTGCTGAATCATGTTCCAGACCCTGGGGGTTCTGGGACAAGCTGGTCCTCCACACACACACACACACACACACATACACAAAAGGTTCATGTTGTAGCCAGAAAGACATAAACCATCAATATTGTAGTATTTAAATATAAAGCAGTGTGCATTGTAAAAGTGCATATGAGATTTTATCAAAATGCCTAAAGGAAACTGCTAATTCTGCCTTAGCGTGAGCAGGCCACATGGGGTGCAGGGATGAACGCTGGCAGAACGAGGTCATCCCAGCACAGGGAGATCAAGTGCTGTGTGGAAATCATGAAGCCCACAAAACTGGGTAGAGTGTGAGAGAGGCACAGTGAGAACTGCCTCCGGGACTTTTGTTGGAGAGATGCATGTGTGATGTGTTGGGGTGGGAAACACTGAAGTCAGGACTGCCGGTTAACTGTCGTCCGCATGACTCTGCACATAGACACATAGAGAAGGACAAGGAGTTTATACCATCACGGTAAAACCAGCGCTTACCAAAGAGAATCAGTTCCCTCAGAAAAATTGTTCTACACGTGGAAAACGGCTTCATATCTTACTTTAGTTTCCTTCCCAAGCAGACCCTGAGGGAAAGGTTTCAAAGCATGTGGTTTATTTAGGAGATGATATCAGAGTGCACCAGCTGGGGTGTGGGGGAGTGAGACTAGGAAGGGAAGAGAGGCATCCAGCGAAGGGTTTTCAACTGCAAGCAAATCAGCACTGTGAGTGTCTGAGGCTTAATTCCACCAACACACGGTGGAAACCCGTCGAACACAGGCTCAGAGTTATACCCCAGGGCCACGAGAGCAGTCCCTCCGGCGCTGTTACCGGGCTCTTCCAGAGCAGACTGGGGACCTGAATTCTCTGACACGCTCTGCGCAGTCAGGGGAGTGGAGGAGGCTCAGACGCCAGAGGAGGCCAAAGGACAGAAACGCAGACGCAGGTAGTGTGGAGGGAAGCAGGTGGCCCCTAACGCAGCAAAGGCCAGGAAAAAACGGCCGGGGTTATCGTTTACCCTCCACAAGTCTAGTCATTATCATCACTTCATTTTATTCCTCTACTTACATATCCTGCAGTTACTCTTTAACTAAGTAGCTTTAAATGTTCTGACCCTGAATGTTTTTGTTCTTTTCTTGTGGCAGACTAACCAACACTTCCTGGAAACAGTAACGGAACAAAATGTGGAAATCGAGCGACTCCAAAAGCAACTTAGGTATTTTTTTTAATAAATTTTGTTAGTTTAGTGTTAATTATTTTTCGGAGAAACTGATGAGGCCATGATTTTTCCAGTGGGTGTTTTTTCCCTCCCTTTTGAGTTTCTGTCATTGGCTTTTTGTGTGTATGATCTTTGAGGATGGAAAGAGACTGGAATCAAAGTCAGATTAGTCAGAAGGCAACCACAATATAAATCAATTTCCTTAGGTAAAATTTTTCTACGGGTATCTTTCTTTGGATTCCACCATAAGCAGACTTGCTGAGAAAAGGGTTCTGAGCATGCAGTTTTGGTGTAATACCAGGGAGCACCATCAGGGGGAGCGAAAGGAGATATAGGGAGGAGAGGAAGAGAAGGCAGCCAATAAAAGGTTTTTAAAATTAGACAATTTAATACTGTACATATATGTGTATACGTTATGGTACAGTGGTTTAATCATTGCATTAATAGATTTTACAGGAAAAACTCCAAATGATGGAAGACAAATTGTCACTTGTTCCTCTCCCTTGTGCTACTTAAAATTAAGTAGTGTAGCCCTATAAGGTTCTGTTCTATGCTGCAGTCATTTACACATGTCTTCAAATTGTAATGTATATAGAAAAGACATCGGAACCTACAGCTGAGCTCAGAGAAGTAAGGGTAAAGAGGAGAAATCAACGGATGAGGCAGAGGAGAGACCAGTGGGACAGGAGAGCGCCAGGACCCGGGGTGTCCTGGGAGCCGGGTGGGGGAGGCCTGCCGGGGAGGACGCAGGGTTGCTGAGTCCAGTGCGTGACGAGTGAAGCAGGATGAGCTCTGAGAGCCGACTGTTGAATGTAGCCATGCAGAGATCGCATGAGTTTCCCACCTGCCACAACAAGTTATAATTGGGGGCTTAAAACAACAGGAATGTATTCCTCAGAGTTCTGGATGCTAGAAGTCTGACGTCACGGTGTTGCTAGGGCCCTGCTCCCTGTCAGCTCCTGGGGAGAACCTCTCCTTGCCTCCTCAGCTGCTGGTGCTGCAGGCACTGCGGGGCCCTGATGGCAAAACTCTAACCCCGTCCTGCCTCTGTCTTCCCTCGGCCCTTGTTTTCTCTCTCCCTCCTTATAAGCCCACCCTCATCGAGGATGATTCACCGTGAGATCCTTACCTTAATTCCTCTGCAAAGTCCGTCTCCAAGGAAAGTTTGAGGTGGACCTGAATTTGGGGGTGGGGAGACACTGTGCAACCCACTGCAAAGGTCATAGTGGTTCTGACAACAGTAGTTCAGCTTCTACTTCCTTTCACGTCCATGCAAATCATTGAAAAGCACTGAGCTCATTCTGGGTGGCAAAACAGTTCTCAATGTTCAAAGGATTGACTTAACACAGACCACAGTTTCTTAGAACACCGGGCAAAGGACGTGCACAAATATTTCAAAAGTCATGGCAATGTGGAAAATGCACGTTGAAATAATGTGATACTTCTTCACACCCAGTTATCAATGCCAAAAATGTAATGCGCAATATAATACCAAGTACAAAAGGAGCTTAACGAATGATGCAATTTATATACATTTTAAGTGCTTTTAAAATCGTATTGATTATGGATATATATTTTAGTTTTATATATCCACATACACTTAGATATATATGTATATTCAATTATATAGTAAAAAATAAAATGTCTACATATTGTGTTCATATTACAAAAGAATAAAATAAAAACATTTCCAGGAGTGGTACACCCTATCTCCAGATTGGTGATGATCTCTGTGGAGTAAGACTGTACAGAAGTCGAGCATGGGAGGCAGCCTGGGTGTCCAGCACCGAGGAAATGGGCGGGTAAAATGCAGCAGCTGCGTCCTGTGGAATACCATGCACCGTCTAGAAACACGTGTTTACAACTAAAGATGTAGTTACAGCAACGTGAATTTATAGAACAGGGTTCATATTTTAAAAGTAAAAAGATTTGCTCTCTAACATTAAAACACATGCAAATAACAATATATGATTTACCATACACATATATGTGTATACTCATATATCTATATCTGTCTATCTCCAAGGGTATATCACATTTTAATGTGAACCACAAGGCAAGGGGGGATGACAGGGAGCTGGAGAATACACAGGAAAACTAACAAACAAATGAGAGCAGTCACTCACAGCTGAGAATGAGAACAGATCACGGGGAGAAGACTGTGATCAGTTTAACTCTGTGCTCAAGGTTCAGGAGAGAGCGGAAGAAAAAGAATATTAAGGTGCATGGTGTTTGTAGTTTAAATTACGATGTGGAGATCCTGGAAGAAAATGAGTCAGAAAATTGGTTTATCAAGACCTGCAGTCATATGATAATAGTGGAGATAGCAAATTAAAAATGCATGTAAATATTATTGTGTAGGAAAATGGGCAGAACTTGATGATATTGGGATAAAGGACAGGGGAAGATCATGGAATTTTATTGCTAATGGTATCTTAATGATCATCTTACTTTAACTTTCTGCTTTCATGGAAGACACCTAAATGAACCAAAGGCTCAGAAGTGATTTGTCTTATTGAGGGTTGCACAAAAATTCACGGAAGGCCCAAACTGGAACTCACATGCCGTAACTGCTGATCTGGTGCGTGGCTGTGCCTGGCCCTCGGACTGCACAAACAGTGTGCAGGGGTTGAAATGGGAGCTGCTTGTTGAACAGCAGATGATGAGTGGATACATTGTGTTTTTGACATCTGTGTGGAAGTTCCATTTGGCTTTTGCACACTCAGGCCCAAGATTATCAGTGGAGATTAGAGATGGATAAAGCTAGTTGTGGTTTTCTAAAGCCTAAAAGGGCTTAAGTTTAATTGTCCACAAGCAATTTTGCCACAATATCTATTGGCAATACTCTATAACTTAAGCAGCTCAGAGTTGTATACATAAAACTGTGCTTGCTTTTCCTGACACAGACTTGAAGGAACATAAGGAGAGACAGATGCTTCTTTCAGGGAAGAGAGTGTTGCTTTCAAGTTTGACAGATTCTGAATGATGGGCATATTGACGTTACCAGAATTTAGGTTTTGAGTTGCCCTATATAGCCTGCCAAGAATAACTAAATTGGAAACTCTTTAAACACCAGTGTTAAGTTTGTACTTATACTGAAAACATACTAGTTTCATTTGTTGTCTGATGTTATGGTACAAAAAAGTTAGACTCGTGTGAGTTTGTAATTGGAGCTTTGCATCATTTCCCTTTTCGAGAGTCTCTGCTGGTGCCTGTCACAGCAGGTGCAGGTCCGCAGCCTGTCTGCTAAGGGTCTGCACTCACCTGCTCTCCCCAGCCCCCAGTTATGCGCAGACTGCTCACGCTAGTTATTCTGCTGTCACGCACCGAAGATGTTTTGTTCTTTGTTCCTTTTTCCCTTTGATCGTTATTCTGTTGGTCAGAAACTTTGTAACTTCCTGAACCTGGCTAAAGCTTGCCTGCTCTCGTTCATTCCACCGGATTTTTATGTCTCTCGTGGCTCTACTCAGCATTTATTCATTGAACAAATGTGCTATTTCTCTTCAGGTGCTTTTTTGCCACACATATTTGTCTCTAATATACGTCCGGCTGAGATATGGAGATGGTTGTTTTTCAGGTCGTGTCCACTCAGATGTTAATCTCCCTGTAGAGTCTCTGAAGGAAAATATTGTCATCTGTGTGTGTTGTTCAGGGGTAACAATATTGTCCCAGTAAAAGGACGTGCTGTGAAGAGTGACGGAAGCATCCACGTAGTGTCTGTGTCACCCTCTCGTCAGAGTGGCAACATCATCAGAGTGTTTAGTGTAAAGCACTTTAGCCACTGTGGCATGATCTCACTGGCAGATGTAGATATTTTCTTATGAAGAACCTGCAACTTGTCCATGTATTTCCTGTTCATTGAGAACTTAAATATACACTAGTGTGCTCTGAGGGTAGCAGCTGTCTTTAATAAGTTTACGTACGACACGATGGCCTCAAATCAGTCTGACCCGTTTCATCTCATGTCACCTTTGTGGCTTAACAACCTCTGTGAAGGTGAGACCCAGGGAATTTTTCCAGCTCAAGGTTCCCCTGTGATCTCCACGCAGATGGCTCAGAGGCACCTGGAACGCAGCAGGCCCTACACTGAGCACGTTACCTACCGCAGGTCCACAGCCTCATCTTTCTGTTTGTGAACGCTCCATCCAGTTGCTGCTTCAGAAAACTAGGAGGCATCTAAACTCTTTCCTGTCACAACTCAGCCTTCCCAGCGTCTCTCAGCCTTCACTCCGGCCTCCTCGCACCGTGACTGCCCTCGTTCCACCTTTCGTCTCATCTGAGTAGCCTCCGAAAGGGCTTATTTCTTCCCCACCTTCGTTTTCCGTACTGCCGTCAAAATGATCTTCTTCCAGTGAAACCTGATCACGTCGCTGGCCTTTGGTGCCCACTAAATGCCTATAGGTCCTCTCGGCACCTGGAGTGTCCAACTCATTGTCACCAGGGCCACATCAGCCTTGAGGTGGACTTCAAAGGGCCAAAATAATTTTAGGACTGTATACCCGTAACTACTCCTTAACTGTTAAGGACTTGAAATTACTTTTGGCCCTTTGGAGGCAACCGTGAGGTTGATGTGGCCCCCGGTGAAATGAGTTGGACACCCCTGCCCTAGGATATAATCCAAGTTGTACAGCAGAGCATTAAGCCTTCCGTGACTTGACCCCCAGCTGCTTTAGATCGGGTCACTCCTCCCCTCAGTCTTCTGAACGCCCTTGGTTTCCCAGACAAGCCATGCTACTTCCTGCGTCCCTCATTTTGCTCACATTGTTCGGGCTGCCTAACCTGCCCTCCCCTGATGCAGCCCCACTCAGCTTCCCGTGTTCAGCTCCAGGCTCACGTGTTCTAGAAATCTGTTTCTGAATCTTTATAGTTTCTTCCTCCCCAGATAGAACCAAATGTGCCTTCCTTGTGCCTCAGCTGTAGACTGTAGATACTTCTCACATAGCATTTTCAACACTTTAGCATACTTATTTCTTTATAAGTCCATCTGTCTTTACTAG